TTCGGAAATAATGTCGTCATCATCATCATTATCTGCTAAATCCCCTTCAGAGTCGTTAAACCGGTCATCAATATCCAATTTATACAAAGCACATGAATTTTCTGAATCGTTTTTTAAATCTGTTCTGCTGGTATTTCGTGTATTAGGTGGAGCTTTCATTATACGATGACTCTTTCCATTTGATTTTTGTGTAGATGAAGAGTGTAATGACTTCGAGTTCTTAACGCCAGATCGATTATTTAATTCGAAATATTCAGAGCTTGCATTGCATGCGTTTACGTTGGTCTGCTGATAGAATTAATTAAATTATTATTTTTTTAATAATTACTAATTATATTGGACTCGGCTATAAACGTGTAAGCCGTGCCTAAGACTATAAAGAATAAGAATTATATTAAACTACTCACCACTTTTGGCGCTAATTTTGCAATGTTTCTATTAATTTCCATAAGCATTTTATTGTTACCTTCCCTTTCGAGTTTCTGTTTCTCATTTTGTAATCGCTTATTTTCCTTAGTTAATCGTTCAATGTCCTCATATAGTTGCTTTTGATCGCGCTCCATGTTTCTTATTTGCACACGCAAACGCGCCTGCGCAGATGCATGTAATTGCTCCTTTTGTTTCAATTGACTTTGAAGCGTTTCTAATTCATCTTTGAGTCGTGCAATTTCCTTTCGTTCTTTGTTGGTTATAACTTGTTTTTGCACACGCATTTGGTGTTCAAATTTACGCCTCTCTTCTTCAATTTTCATTTTTTCATCATGCAGGTACATTTCCATTTGAATCTTATCGTCTTTTAAACGATCCAACGCTTCATTGCGTTCTTGACTAAAATGTGCTTTTTCCATTTCATATTCCTGTTTGGCTCGCAATAACTCAATGTTATTGTTCCGGAAGGAAGCTATTTCCTTTTCAAGCTCTTCCAGACGTAATTTAATAATGTTGCTCTTCTCTTGTAGTTCTTGCGTTAACGCAGATGGTGGCGAGGACATCAACATGTTTTGATCTGTTGTTTTGTCGTCGCCAGCACCTTTGCCGAGCAGTGCGCTAAAGAGAGCATCCTTGAATTGATGAAATAAATATGAACTTTTATTTGAGGACGTTTCTTCATCTAATATGGAATTGTTGGAAATTATATCTTCGCCATTTTCATATTTACAAGTTGAATTTTCTTCAGAAAAACGGACATGTAAATTCACTTTGTCGGCGTGTAATGTGGACTCGTTTCTAGATTCCGCACTTAGGTAAGTTAAAATACCAGGTGTTTGACATCTCTGGTCTCTATCGTCAGTGGCATCAGAAAAACTATTTTCGTCGTCAGAATCGCATCTTAACACCTCTTCGACAGTAGGTTGCAAGCGACAATTCGCATATCGACTATTTATAGACATTTCACTATCATTTACTTCATTTTTATCGTTATTCAGTTTATTGTTTAGGAATTTTCTTACACAACTGGAGTTCATATCTATAGCTCCTTGGTCAGCTTGCCGCTCAAGAAGTTCAAATATACTGAGATTTTCTTCATCATTACAATCATTTCTCCCAGAGTTAGATAAATTTTGTCGTATTTCGTGTATAGGTAAGGGTTTCAAATGTTGTGGATTGAGAACTTTTGACCAAGTAATTGCGACATATGGTTCAACTTGATGTTCCGTTCCATTTTCTTCAAAATCTTTACAGAATTTTGTGTCTTTAATTTCAGTCTCACCTAGCCGAACGTTGGGTAGGGTTATAGAAATTGCAGATGAATCTCCTTTCAAAGGTCTTGTATCCGGTGTAGAACTATTAGGAGGATTTGCATTGGCCAACATTTTATGAAATTGCTTCTCATTAACAACATGTTTTATTTCATCAATACAATCCATTTTATTAGTTTCTATCATTGAATTTTTTTGGGATGGTTTCACTCTTGGAGCTAACTTGCGTCGTTGGATGTTTTTAATTTTGGAATGTGCATCGGCATACTTATATCGTGGTAAATTATTTAGTCGCAATGATTCAGGTGAGATTTTATATCTTGCTTTTATGCCCTCTCCTCGTTTAAGATATGGTCTCTTGGGTTTTATATCTTTAACTTCAAAATGTTCATTATTGTAGTCAATACTGTTGTAATTTCTTTGATTTGCGAGTTCTCCTTGAGTTTTATTTCTAGTTTGAAATAATCTGCTTTCTATTTCTTTGATTTCACTGTCAGAACCAAAATCATCTTGAATTTCGAATTTTTTCAACTGATCCCCTGATGTGTCCCCACCGCCTTTGTCTGTATTCTGAATTATATCATTTCCATGTAAGAATCCCATTTTTTCATATATATCCTGGTGCTCTAAACCCAGCATTTTTCGCTGCATATTCTGGCGGTCGTCCAACAGACGTTTCTGTTCTTCCTGCCATTTGCTTAACTTTTCCAAACGCTTTACTATATTCACTTGTGAGTCCAGCATGTTGTTTTTGCAATTGGTTTGCAGCATTTTCAACATAAAATTTGCTGATGGTTAACAGTTTTATCAAAATAAATTGAATTATTCACATTCGTATATTTTAAATTGAAAATGTTATTTATTACAGTATAGGCAACCTAACAAGCTATTCGATAAATAGCAAATCAGGGATGAGTGTTTGGAAAAACATATTTCTACCGATTAAATATTATTTTGAAAGCTGACAATTTTTTTAATAATGGTAAAAAAAATTTAATTGTTGACATAGTGATTTGAATTATATATGAGTTTATCTAGGAGAATCGTTGATGCATTGATAACATAAATAATATTGAAAGATAATTTAAATTCTTTTTCGAACGAAAATATTCGCATGGAAATTGGTTGCTGGGCAAAAACTACGAATACAACTCTGTACACAAAGTTATTGACAATCATACTAAATATTTGGAACAGGATTGTTTTATATTATTATATTTTTATTAAATTGTAAAATGATTTATGTATGAATTGCTTAAAAATATTTCCCAAAGTGCAAAAAAAAAAAAATAATAATCAGTTGAGTTAATTTATTAGAACGTTATGAGCTTTAAAGATTTGGACTTCAGTACTACTCGACAGCTTGTTTTTATCGTGGTTGTTCTACTGACCATATTATTAGCAAAAAGGATATTCAGTGATTTTGAAAAAAATTCTTAAGAAAAACTTTTAGGAAAAAGGCGTGAGAAAAATGGCAACAGCGACTAATCGACGGGTTTCTTATTTTTACAATCCAGATGTAGGCAATTTTCACTATGGTCCCGGACATCCAATGAAGCCGCATCGCTTATCTGTTACACATAGCCTTGTTATGAATTATGGTCTCCATAAAAAAATGAAAATCTATCGACCTTACAAGTAAGAAAGCTTTTTATTTTGTAAACACCTATATAAATATGATATATTCTATTTTTAGAGCGAGCGCTCAGGACATGCTTCGTTTCCATAGTGAGGAATATATAGACTTTCTTCAAAAAGTCACTCCCCAAAATATTCAGTGCAATAGTAAGTAATTGAATATTTTTTATAACATATAACATATTTATGTGTATTTTTGATAATCTTAGCCGTAGGATATACAAAATATCTGTCTCACTTTAGCGTGGGTGAAGATTGTCCAGTCTTTGATGGTTTATTTGAGTTTTGCGCGATGTATACGGGCGCTTCTCTGGAGGGCGCCCAGAAGTTGAATCACAATCACAGTGATATATGTATAAATTGGTCCGGAGGCTTGCACCATGCAAAAAAATTTGAAGCATCAGGTTTGAATTAAATTTATGAAACAAAATAATTTTACAAAATAATTTTACATTTTCCTTTTAGGTTTCTGTTATGTTAACGATATTGTGATAGGCATACTTGAACTACTTAAATACAATCCACGAGTTTTGTATATTGATATCGACGTGCACCATGGCGATGGCGTACAAGAGGCATTTTATCTCACGGACCGCGTTATGACTGTATCCTTTCATAAATATGGGAATTATTTCTTCCCTGGAACGGGAGATATGTACGAAATTGGAGCGGAATCTGGGCGATATTACAGCGTAAATGTACCACTAAAAGAAGGCATTGACGACCACAGTTATTTTCAAGTTTTTAAACCAATCATTTCGGCGGTGATGGATTTTTATCGCCCAACAGCCATCGTGTTACAATGTGGTGCAGACTCGCTTGCGGGTGATCGGCTGGGATGTTTTTCTCTCAGTACCCGTGGACACGGAGAGTGTGTTAAGTTCGTTAAGGAGCTGAATGTGCCAACATTGGTAGTTGGAGGTGGGGGTTACACTTTACGCAATGTAGCTCGGTGCTGGACTCACGAAACATCATTACTTGTGGACGAAAATATATCCAATGATTTGCCAATGTCCGAGTATTTGGAATTTTTTGCGCCGGATTTCACTCTTCATCCTGATGTAAACTCACGCCAAGAGAACGCTAACTCTAAACAATATTTGGAATTGATAGTGAAACATGTTTATGAGAATTTAAAAATGTGTCAACATTCGCCAAGCGTGCAAATGGTGCAAATTCCCCCAGATTCTATTGACATGGAAGAAGTACGGGTTAAGGAAGAATCTGACCCAGATGTTCGAATATCACAGGCGGAAGACGACAAAATGGTGGAGCCAAAAAATGAATTCTACAGTGGAGATACCGATCAAGATAAAGGCGATACGGCTGAAAGTTAAAATATATTTTTCGGATAGTATGATAGGAAAGCTATTTTTAATATATAAAAGTTCATTTCTACTTATAATAAAAGTTTTTTTAAACTATTGGATGGTTGAAAATTAGTTGTTGTAACGGCAGAAATTCTGCCGAGTTGACAGTCCTTGGCCGGATAAAATCCGGGTCCGTTCCGGTTTTCGTAGACCCGACTGTCGTGGGAACGGGTTGTTTGAATTATTTTTGGAAAACTAGTGCTATTGTTCGGTTATTTAGTGTTATTCCTTATGGATATTCATTCATATTTAAGACCTGCTTAAAATATTTGGTTATAAAACAATATTTGTTTATTTTGCAATCTACATTTATTAGGTAATTCGAAAAAAATACCATTTATATCTAAAAACATTATGGCATTTAGCACAAAATACTTTTGATATATATACGAACTTGACTCGACGCTATAAGTATCTTGAATGGATAATGCAAACCTATGCATATATTGAATGGTTTTACCAACCCGTTGTCGTGTTGGCTAAGCGACGCATTCGACGTGTATTGCGATCTTGATCACGTATTTTCTTCTCCATTTCTGCATCCGTTAGTGTTTCGAGAAATGGTGCCCATGCATCAGCATCACTGGGATTACGGAAGGGAACATCTATAGTAGATAGAGGAGCTTCACTAAAAGCATAAGTACGACAATGCCAAGACAATTGGCCGCGTATGCTGTACGCTATTGCTGTTACAAATTCTCCTCCCAAACCAAGCTCAGCACATAACTTTATAGCAAATTCCTCGGGATTATTATTCTTTTCAGACATATCCCATTCAACTTGATCCACAAGTGATGTATTTCCGACGTGAATATTAAGTTTAACGATAACTCGCTGATCGCAGCTTTCTTCAAGTATCGGAGGCTCATTAGGAAAAGCTTCTATTTGCTGTCGAATGGCCTGAGCAATTGCAGGAACAAAAGGTATGGGGTTTAAATCCAAATCATCGCAAAGTACTTCAGCAAATTGTTCTGGTGTTATCATACTCTCTTCAAATATATACATATAATTATAAAATACTATTAAGAAATTCTAAAAAAAAAATCAATAACATACCATTTTTATTCCATGTGAAGGTATCACGTAATTTTTGACCTTCCAATTCCATATCCAAACGTATGGGTACTAAACATTCTTTTTGTGCAGCGTTTTCAATGTTAGCTGTTGGGTCGGTATCATCAAAACACATAGGGAATGTACGAACTTTCTTGGTATGAACGCGGTTACGATTTATTGGTGTGGCTTGTGGGACTGCGTCCAAATGACTAGAATTCGGCATAGTGGGAACATATTGTGGCTGCTTTTTAGATTTATTTTCACGTGGTAATGGTGCTTCCGATGTGTTTACAGATATAGCTCGATATCTATGTGAATTATCCATTAAAATATATATACAGTTAAGTATTGAAAAATCACTTACTTTTCATCATTTCCTGCAATTATATCGTCTACTTCTACGGCCCGTAGCAGTGATACAGAACTCGCTAATATGTGTGAACTCAGTCCGGAGTCTGCTAGCCTTTTACGTTCTTCATTGGAAAGTACCAACCGCGTCATACCGGGATACTTTTTATAAAGGATACCCCGGAATAAACGCATATAGTTTCCCACTTCAGAGCCGACATAGTAGTATTCACCACCTTCTTCCAGCTGAAAAGCCACAGGCTTGTCTCCATACGTTTGTAACGCCATTTCTTAAAAGTGAATCCGGAAAATAAATTCTATATTTTTTCACTGAAGTCAATTCACTTTACTTCAAAACGCCGAAAACTAACAATAAAACATAAGAAGTGCAATAATGGCGAATCTCAAAAGAGATGCCAACATCATCAAAATATACAATATCGAATTTTAAATTATGGACTGACGATAATTTGACGATAGTACGAATATTTATTTATATTTTTTCTGTGCTCTGTATAAGGTTATTCTTCATAATTAATCTAAATTCTTTTACTGCAGTACTGTATGTTATAATACGGTTCAAACGTGGAAATGTTTATTCCATTTTCTTAGTAAATTTCTTTAGAGCTGCCGATTCAATTTACACAGAGAAATTTACCGTATTTTCATACTCAGCAGGTTACACTACTTTATACTCATTACAATAAATTATGCGCCGAAAGAAAAAGATAAATGATCACCAAACACAAACTTTTGGTTAATTTGACCTTACAAACTCAGAAATATTAACAGAAATTTCTGACTTCAGCACAAACAAGTTAATACATATGTATATATATCCAACGATATCGTTGAAATCGTTATGCTCGATATTTTTTAATTCACTATCGATATTTATGAAACCTGCCACTTAAACAGCTGATTGATTAGACATAATTAAACCTTGCTGCAACTTCTTTAATAGTGCAATACCAAAAAAATGTCACTATTTCGATTATCCTTACGAATTTTAAATCAAAATAAAGGACTAACACGTTTACCAGTGCTGGGTAAATAATATTGAAGAATAATTTTTCAGAATAAATAATTTTTTATTCTGTACACTTAGATCAAACACGTTGCTTTAAACGTTGGGTGGCGCCGACATTACGTGAACTTCGTAGGCGACAAAAAAAATTGGGACCCCAGCTGCCCCAACCACGATCCGGTTTTATTGAATGGAATTATCGTGCTGAGTTGTTTGCTTTTGGCAAACGACTACATGAAGAATTTGATTTAGAAATGCTGCAGGCAGCTTTCACACAGCCCTCGTATGTGCAAAAAGAGCAAGTGCGGCAACGTGATCTTGGTGTTGTCGAAACAGACGTAGTAATTAAAGATAACTATGAATTGTCCGAACGAGGTGCATATTTAGCAAATGAGTGTGTCCGTGCATATTTGCGCCATTCATTTCCAAATGTTCCTGTGGTTGGTATAAATGCCTTCACAGATTATTTGCTAAGCACTGGAATGCTATCACATATAGCCACACATCTAGGTATGACAGAATTGTTACTTGATGACAATTATCCGCCTGAACAAGAATCCTTGGCTCGTTCATTACTTGCTGTTATCGGTACAATCGAGCAATGTAGTGGACAAGAACAAGCATTTCTTTTTATACGAGATTTTGTATGTACACAAATGAATCAACGCGATTTACTTGAAATATGGAGCATTGATGATCCAGAGCTTATGTTAAAGCAAATTTGTGAAGAAAGAAATTTGGGTGAAATAGAACCGCGTTTAATCGGTGATTGTGGCAAAAATACTCTCCTTGCTGCATACCACGTGGGATTATATGCAAATAAAAAACTGATTGGTCGTGGTAAGTTGTAATCTGATAAATAAATTTTTCAGAGTAAAATATTGGGAAACTATGTATATATTTACGTTTTTTATGAAGATTTGAATCAAGTTGTTTTATATTATTTTGAATATCTTGTACATAAATGTTACTAAACAAATTATTTGATTTTAGGTTTTGGTGAAGATGTGGCAACTGCTACAAAAGTGGCTTCCCTAAATGCTCTCCAGGAAATTTTCGGTATACAAGATAACATGCGTCCCCTTAATTTCCAAGCACACCTAAAGCCAGAAGTTCGTAATGCTATAGCATAAATAGGTTTAAAAATGAAGTTTATTACCTAATCCCTATGGGTCTAAGTCTTTGGAATAAAATGTAAATATCCGAGCTCAACAAACAAAATCTTTGAAGTTTATTTTCCGAATTGTTTGAAATGTCTTTATATGTATATACACAAACATTTTGTTATAGAGAAATAATTTATGCACTAAATGTAGACTACTTAAACTTACTACTCTTATCAACTTGTGTTACCAAAATTAGGCTATGTCAATCTACACCATCCCATCTGTTAACCAACCGTAAGTTAGAATAACAAACTATTCTTGATATTTATATTATTTGACGTCGGGCTTAGTGCCATTATTCGTTCCAGTACTAGATGAGAGCCCGGTACCGGGTTCTTCAGGTTTACTTTCAAGAGAAAAAGGGGGTATTTTACAATCAAAAGTGTGACCGTCTTCACGCTCTAAACGAAATGTACCCCACATGTGACCGCTAGGTGCCTGCAAACTGACATGACTGCTGTATTGAAATGCCGGAAGACGTGGACTAAGTATTGGCTCTTGACCGACAACGCCACGTCCACGTACCGTTTCTAATGTGCCTGATAGGGAGAAAATTCTCCAATGGCGTTCACGTAACTGGACGCTAAGCACACCTAAATTCTCCAAACGAATGCAGTAGCGCCACTAAAATTAAATAATATTAAACATACATATATTTTTATAATTTTTTATAGTGCATGCATACCCAATAAACAGAGGAAGCGGGAGTTTCCCGACAACCCATATAGAACGGTATGACAGTTACACGTATATTATCTGTAGTCTCCTTATGAACATCGCTCAATTCCAACCAAGGATGGTTTTTTTCCTGCCAGGCTTTCAATGTATCCTGTCCCTCGAACGGTGGATCTTTGCCTGGGACATGCGTTAGGAATTTATCGAAAAGTTCATGTTGTAGGGGATGTTTTTCTCCCGACGTATATGGCATTACATCGTCGTGGGCAACATAGTCAAGACCAGGAATAGCATATAGGCTGCGGTTGGAATCCTGATTTCCCAGAAATGTTACAGCCTCAGTTTGTGCGCGCTTCAAAAAAAAAAATGGAAAATATTAAAACTAAAAAATTTAAATTTAACGATTGATTAGAGGTTTTATTTACAATGTATGGGCAATCGCGTGAATCGATCAGTACTTGGTAGAAGGTGTGAACTTTGCCTTTCACTTCTTTTACCGACGAATCTGTACTACTGGTGGACGAAGATGAGTTGTCACTTTCACCTCCATTAGTTGCATGAGCTTCTGAATTTCCTTGTTCACTTGATGCTTCTCTTATAGCGCTATTTTTACTTTTTTCTGCTGCAATGGCCCCAGTGGACGACTTATCAGCATTTACTCTTTGTTTCTGCTTGTTGGGATTATGTAGATCGCGGTCATACACTCGTGCAGACCATGGAAAAAGCACAACCCCACGGTAACCAAATATGCGATGTAGGAATAACTGACCTGTCTCATATTTTCCATCTAGTTTGACTGACTCCAATCGCCCTACTTCAGCTAATCTATATGATATTGGAAAATCATAGAGAGCTATTTGTACAACGTTTGCAATATGTTATGTAATTCAAAGAAACCTATAATATGAACCCCTAACTGCGTCACTTTATTAAAGGAAAATGCGCATTAATTGCGTTTAGTAAGGAAAACGCTATATGGTTTCATAACGTTAAATGAACATATGAAAAAATATACTTACTTGGCGAGTTTTGATCCCTGCTGTGAAAATTGCCGAAGTAAAATAATATCACAATTTCCTAAAACTGCTAATGGTACTAAAACCCGTCCTAAATTATTGTTTCTAAACGTTTTAGTAAATAAACTATTCATGTTTTGTGTTTTCCTTTAGTGCTTTTCACTCATCAGCGGTCACAACAAATCGGTTCATTCACTAATAGTTTAGTCCTTTGGGTTAAATGTTTAAGAAATTTTGAAAGTTCTTCTAGACATAAAATATTTTTATGGAATATTTATGAATGCTGTTTTTTGTGTTTTGTTAAGTTAATGCACCAAATAAAGAAGTTTAAATGTTTTCATGGCTGATTTTTAGCGAAAATACTCCAAAGTTGTCTGCTATAGTTTTTCTAATTGGTACTGTAAAAGTTTGGCAGCACTGATATATTATACGTTCTCTGGAGGTTCACTAAACGGACAAGTGAGCAAAACAAAAAGTATTGACATTAAACCAATTATTTTTCAACAAGAGTTAATGAATAAGTAAGCAGAGGTGGTAAAAATTGTTTTCAGCCACCGATTGCAACAGAACCCAAATAATCAACTAAGCAGTCAATTTGGAGGTTGGAACATACATTGCAACTAAAATGGCTTTACCGGCTAAAGTTTTTACGCTTTCGAGAAATGGTGAGTTTAAAAATTAATTGATTTGTTTAAGAACTTTATATTTCGCTTATTTTATGTATGGTTGAGGTTATGGGAGTTATGTCACATCTTAGTTCAAGGATAAAATAATTATATTACAAAATGTCATAGGTCATCGCATGTTTGGAACCAGTCTCCGCTTATGTTCAGCTGGCAAAGATATAGTAACTGTACCGAAGGGCTATGTCTATGTCAATAATAAAGAGTTGAGTATGGAAATCAATGAGATCACTGACCGCGCAGCAACAACAATGTTTTTAGGAGAACTTTTTCGAGGTTTTGCTGTGACTTTGGCTCACATATTTAAAGAACCAGCCACTATCAACTATCCCTTTGAAAAAGGACCTTTAAGTCCTCGTTTTCGTGGAGAGCATGCTCTCCGACGGTACCCAAGTGGAGAGGAGCGTTGTATTGCTTGTAAATTGTGCGAAGCAATATGCCCAGCGCAAGCTATTACGATTGAAGCAACAACTCGTTCCGACGGTAGTCGGCGTACAACGCGATATGATATAGATATGACTAAGTGTATCTATTGCGGTTTTTGTCAGGTAATACACAAAAGCAATTATTCAAAAATTGAGATTAATCTTTAAATTTTTTAGGAAGCGTGCCCGGTTGACGCCATTGTAGAGGGCCCCAACTTTGAATTCTCAACTGAGACACATGAAGAATTATTGTACAATAAGGAGAAGCTGCTTTGCAATGGAGATAAATGGGAATCGGAGATTGCATCTAACTTGCAAGCAGATCACTTATATCGATAAATTATTTGGGTTACGACGAGTTAAATTCCTCAAATTCGTGACATATATTATACTTCAATATAGCTTGAATAAAGGCTTTAATTAATGCAATTATATATGTAACACTTTATTATTCATTTTGAGCCTAAATATTTTGTAATAAATGGTAGTTACGAATTTAATTGATGTGAATTATGCCTATTGTCCAGGGCCAGACAAAGATTTCTCCATAAACTTCTTTTTGGCGAAACAAATCCACCATTTATTGGGCTTTCCATCTTCACTGTTAAATACTTTCTCGCAGACACGATTTCCGATTTCATGTCGCAGTTGTAAGAAATATTGACGCATTAAATCTGAAACCGATGTTTGTATTTAAATATCAATGTTTGTTTAGCACATACTATAACCGCTGTTTATAACTTACCCGCTTCTTGTGTATTTTGTGGTCTAGCATAAACAGCATTTAATGGAAATCCAGCATCTCCAGGAATATCAAATTTTGAAATAGCCAAACTGTACATTTCTTGTGTGCCATGATTTTTGTTACTACAGCGTTGTAAGCGCTTCAAACATTCGGTGATATATAGTGTAATGTAAATGAGAACGCGATCCACTTCAGACTAAAAAATGTATTTTGTTACTTTCTTATACGTATGTATATACGAAAAATAATATCGAGTTATTACCTTTATCTCATATGTACGGAAAAAAACATTTGCTTTGAAGTAATATAGTGACTCATCAATGATATCGTTTTCAATATTGGCACTGGGAGCAGGTCCACGAGCTTGAGTTCGTAAAGGCAATATAGCCATATTTCCAACCACTTGGGGAAATTCCTTAATCTGTGAATGGTAGGCCTAGAAAATATTTTGATATATAAACAGTACAATACTTTGATTCATTTTATATGTTGGGCGAACTGACCGCACCCCGTTATGCTTTAAAAGGTTTTATGATTTCGGTATATTTATGATATTATATTTACCGGCATGTCTGTTGTATTTAAATTTTTTTATTTGATCGGTATCTAATTTAATTTGTAAGCAAATATTTTCGAATTATTGAAATCTAGGTTTATATACGAATGCAGAAGTCTAGGCAAATATTGACAATTGCCTTAAGTCAAAGAATGTCTTTTTATTTTAGTTTTTCTCTGCTTAAGTTTTTACTCATCTTTTCGTCGAATTCTCTTTTGTTTTTAAACTTGTGCGCACTGTTGACTTCTGTCATATATGAAACTTATGGATGATTTACATACAATGTTCGAAGCTTTTATCAAATTGTTCAAGGGATAAATAGCATAAAATGTTGGAAATATTGTGTTGGCACTTGTTATTTTATAATGTACTTTACATAATAGCATCAAGCAGTAATGTTCGAACCGCACAAATATTTAAAAGTTTGCAGGGGTCTTAGCCTCAACGAAGAAATTAAAAAGTTTGTTATTAAGAAGAATATGTATTCATGCGATTTTGGGCTAGTTCCCCCACGCTTAAAAATAAGAGTTAGTTGATAACTTTTATTTATTGCTCACTGAATAATAGTTATGCAGTAAGTTTAAAATAACTCTTACGCAATAAGAGTTGTCGAGTAACTTATCGACACAACCTTTTACCTTGAATTTACATGGGGTTATCGAGTATTAAGATATTTATAGCTATATAAGCACATCCCTAATTTAATAGGGAAAATAGAAGAGGTTGAAAAACCGGCGAAACAAATAACAATGATAACAAATCGGAATAACACAACTGTCAATTGAGGATAATGCGATAACGCGAAAAGTGTTCAAAGCTGATAGGTAAATACAAGAAAAGGTGAAATAGATGACAACTAACAACTAAATAGCTAAAATTGTGAGCGAGGCTTATTCACAAGTCATTATTGGCAAAGGCAAAAAGAACAAATGTGAAGAAAATCTTACGTCCAATAATCCGTACTGCAGTGGAAACGGAAATAACGTCAATTACGAAACCAAAATCCATAATCTTCAATATAACCGAAAAATGATTTAGAAATTAATATATGTTATGTTCCTACAATAAATTTTTGATATCCAGAAAGATATTAAGTGTATAAAGTACATTAATTACTTGCAATATAATATATAATCTATTAGAGTTTAACTATAAAATCTGCGTAAATATGCTGACTTTATATTATGCCACTGCTACATTCCTGCAGTCATCGCGTATAAAGAACGTCTGTGCAAAAATTGGGCAGCAACTAGCTCTAAATACCAGCATTTCATTCTACACGTTGCCTACTGAAAATGACGATGGTTTTGGTGAGACAAACAACGAGCTAAATACTTATTAAATATCAAATTTTTTTTTTATATATAATGTTACCTATTTGCGTGTATATAGATCCTTCATTAGCGGCTTCAGATTTTTGTCATAACCGAAATACTGCGCGTGTTTCTGAAATACTTTGGTTAAATGGTTCCCATCGCGGTTGCTGTCTACATCCGGTGCAAGTGGTTCAATTAAAGCCGTGGATATCATTTGATGAGAATAATGCGTCAATGGAGAATAAGCTACTTCCCTTCGCTCATTCAACAAATCCAAAAGCTTTGTTGGATCAGTTTGCTGCTTTAAGGAAAGAGAACATCTTGTATCTCTTATTGGAAGCCGATATTCAACCTTGTTATGAGTTTGAGAATTCTGCAAATCCTATACGGGTATGTGAAAATAATATGCTAAATTTTTAATTGTTTAACATGAAACTTGATTTTGCAAATAATTTATCATTTGAGACTTAGAAGATTAAATTACAACAAATAAGAAATTACAAGTACAGTCTGTTGTTTTAACAGTTTTGCTTTTATTTATTTTTTTTCAGATTGAAAATTTTGGTAAGCTAATAGCATGGAAGGTTGACTCACATCTTGCTGTGCTCATTGAGACTGATGTGGAACATTTTACCAAATTGTTGTTGTCCACATATTTACAAAATAAATTTCTCATTAACGATCAGCTACAATTACTGAGGATTGAGTGTAAGCTAGTTATAAATTATGTGTTAATAATTAATGTGTATTCTTTTACCAACAAGTACTCATTTCTAATATAATTAATATATCATTTCTTAATTTGCCAGCTATTAAATATGAGGGTAGACCGCAGCCCATGAACATGTTGGCCAGCCATTTGCGCAAGCCTGTACGCCAGTGCGAGTTGAACTTAAGTCATGAGGATTGGCAGCGACATTTAGAACATTTACGTGCATTGAGCGTATTAGCGCATCAAGCAACTGAGTTTGAGAGTCAAAAAAGTCGTACCGAGGGTAAAACTACAGGTGATGTGGTTAAGCCAGATCTTATACCTTACGAGCAACAGGTAACTGGAAGCGTCGCGATTTCAAAGGCAAGTAATTTACAAGAACCGGAAGCTGTTGGCACAACTACTTATGCCGAAAAATATTCCGAAACATCCGACACTCTGATGGATGTCAAAACAACTTCAACTGTTACACCTAGTAAATCGTCCATGGTGACAAAAGTAACTATACAAACTGAAAAACCTGTTCAACTTGCTTCACCTTTGTCCAAAATAAAGGCTAAACCGACCGAAATTAGGAAGCCAGTCGCTGCTAACACCAATTCTGGTGGCAGCGGAACCGAAAGTCGCTTTAAGACTACTAAGGTCAGTAGAAATTGATTTAAATACATATGAATTAAATTTGAAAACAATCCTTTAGGTTCCCGAAGCTTCCACATCAACAACAGTAACAGAAAAGTCTTCAGCAAAATCTGTGCTGATATCACCAACACTTCCACTCTCTGATCCACCTATTACCATTTCTGCGGCTGCAGCCGTAATAACAACAACTATAGCACGTACCAAAATGCCTTCCAACAGCGCGAATCAATCTACTGATTTTGATAAGATAGCCTCAGGAATTGTACCCACATCATCACAAAAACAACAATCGATACCTTTAGAAAGTACACCGCTACAAAAAAATAAAAATAGCGAAAGTGACTTATCAACTTCCACGCACGCATCCACAAGTTGTGAAGCATTATCAAATGAAGATCAGAGAAAGGGTCTTAGTTTAAAGAGGTCGGATATTTCTTACCCATGTAAACCAACCAATGTATTTGTTTATTCCGAAAGCGCTAGTTCGCGTGAGGGAGCATTGTCTACGCTTAAGAATATTTTAGATAGGGAAAGGTAAATAATATAAAGTGACCATAAAAAAAATTTATATTTCCACATAAATACTTTTTGGCATTCTTTTAAGCTATACAATTTATGCAATGACTCCACAACAGTTAACACAAAAATATTGGATAAAAAACACTGGACTTTTAGTAGTCTGTGGCAATGTGCCTACAAATGTTGGAGAGATACTAGTTGATTATTTTTTATGCGGTGGTAGAGTACTCTCCTTATGTTCGGATATACTGAATTTTGTACTGCCCAACTATCGAACTGCCGAGGTGATTGAATATAAGTGTACTTTGTGTTTTTTATAAATAATTTGGTTTTTATAAAAAAAAAAAGAAAAAAAAAACGACAGCTGTTTATTCTGCCTGCTCGTATATTTTTCTTTAAGTTAAATATCTTGTTTTTATATAGGTGCGTGAAAATGAACTGGTGCAGTTCTCGTACGATAAATGGCAAAAAATAAAAATGATGCATCATATATTTTGTTATCAGCCTTCGCCCGTCAAGAAAAACTTCTCTACGGATAGTGACGATGCTACACAATTAACTACGAGAAAACCGTAAGTTTTTGAAAAATCTCAAGTATTCAGCTAAAACACTTCTGCAATCACATGCTTATACTATACTACACATAATTACACTGAAAACAATTAAATTTATTTGTATAGTATATAATTGAGCTGAAGGGATGATGCAAGATGTTTATAAACACTGTTCGTATAATGTTTTTACGTTTTTTCAATTGTTTGAGAATGAATAATTGTGATCATATTAAATTCTCTAGTAATATTACATAATATTTATGTACATATACATATGGATGTATATGTATATGCGCCTACAAGTATATTGGTATTTAACGCAGCGTCTAAGTACTGAATACCGAATTACCATAATCGTTAAAAAATAATACTTATTTTAATTTATTTTAAGATAGGTGTTTATACTGAGTTAAATTTTTGCTCTTACACTATTGAAATGTATAAAACCAATATATATTGTTTTGGCCACTTCGAGTGTTTTACAAATTCGCCATTCTTACACAGTATAGTTAGCTTTACCTTTTTTGGAATAATTTACTAATTTATATGCATTTTTTATTGTACAACTCTTTTTCTCTAATTTTGTGTAACATTATGCATTTTTTTATTAAAAACAACCATCATTATGTGTGCGTATACATATTTGTTAAACTTTGTGCCTTGCCGTTAAAATTTAACTAAATTGTTGTTCATTTATAATATTTACTACCTACACATATAATTAAATGTACATGTTTCATTCATACTCGTTTATTTTATCCTTTGTCTATTTGTACAAACTGGCTTTGAATGATTTGGGAATATAATAATAATGAATATTTGTATGATTTTCAAATTATAAACATTCTTTCGGTTATTCCAAATTTTGGTTTGCCCTTTGGTTATACGATTTTCGTTAAAATTTTCTCCACATTTTTTTGTGTGTCTGTTCCCGTTTGTTTTCATTATACCTTTTGCTCGTTCTTGTGTGTGTTGTGGCAATTTCTTCGTACATACATACATACATTTATGTGGTGCAAAAACAAAACAAAAAATCGGCCCTTAGAGCTCTAGTATGTCCAAGGTCTGTCGAACTTCAGGATCTTCGTGGTAAAGTGCACAATCTAGATGTGAAAGTGCTTGGCACTGAGGAAACGTGGAATACACCCAGTTTGTTATTGGCGAACAGCGTGCAAAGTGGAGGATGTGCCGTGTTCTCGCAGGTAATCAACCGTTAAATAGTAGTGAACTTCAAATTTTCATTAATCCTTTGTCACAATTTTGCGCATATTTTTTGGTTCGTTGGCACTCCATTATTAAATATTAAACCGAACACATGCGAATGCAATTTCACCTTGTTTAAATTTTTTCTGAATAGTTTATAAAGTTCAATTATATGACGTGGTCGAATTCAGCAAAAATGGAAAGAATGTTGGCAGTTACAAGACAGAAAACCTGACTCCATGCAATACGCATTCAGTATTGGTGACAAAAATTTATTAAACCCATTATGTTCGAGTTTAAAGTATTGTTTACTCGAAATAAGCAACACTCTTTGAAATCGGGATAATAAATTCGTAGTTTGAATTTCATTTAATTTCATATGTAGGCAGAATTTTTCGCAAAGTTTGGCAATATGATGTTAAACGTTATATACAATATTTTATCAGATATTCAAATTGAATATTCTCAAAAATAATTTTTTTGTTTAATAATTATTTTATTATATTATTTAATATTTAATATTTTTGTGTATTTAATATTAAATAATATTCCTAAATTTTCAAGGTACATTTGGAAACGAATCCTTCACAATTCGAAATGGATGAATCCAAGTACAAGATTCTAATGCAGAATGAACAAGTTCGAATGGAAATTTTAGCACATTTACTGAACAAGCATTTGGATATAAGCGTACAGCAATTAAATACCAACGACGCCAAATGCACATATCAGGAAGCATATTTTCTTGGGAGACATGAGGTAAGGATGTTAAAAAAGTACGTATGTATGTATGTACATATATGTCACCTAAAATGCAAAATAACGTAACAATATTTTCGAAAATTTACAGTGGCGTGAATGAAATAAGAAATAAAATGGAACAAGAGTGAAAAAAAAAATGTTAATACCTGAAAATGTTGGACAAATGTAATTTTAAGTAGTGAATCGTAATCAATGATACTCAATTTTGAATTTTTTGATGTTGCGTATTTTCCATTTTAGGTTATATTCAGTTTTCGTTATTTCCCATGTTGTCTTATTTTGCAAGTGCAAGTTTTCAGCTTTTCCCTAAAAACAATCCAACGTAAGCAGGCTCTTTATTTTCGAGTTAAACTGTGCCTAAGTAAGAAAAGTAAAACCCCACAAATTTTACATGGGTTTTTTATCTTTTGCAATAAATATTGGGCAGTCGAAAAAGTCTTTTCGTATTACTAATAATACTTCAACTTACTTTTTTATATTTWTACTAATAAATAAATAAACAAATATGTACCATTTTGGTCGACCGCGTTTTACCATTTTTCCGCTAGAGACATTGTTCCATCAGTGTAAATCGAAATTTCCAGACCGAAAGCGAGCGAGCCATTGTTGTGCTACACGAACTGATACAGAATTGTTTTCGTACATTTAATAAATTTCATTGGCATTACAAACTTTGTGGCGATCTTAATATACCCTATTCAGGGTATAACAACATCGTAAGCCCATATTGACTGTATATTAAGATAGGAAGTGGTAATTCACTAATTTGTTTATGCGATAAAAACTCTCACATTTTTTGTAAAAATTATTTACAGTCAAAATTTGAATTGTTGGAGAAGATTAAGATTTCTGGAGCTAAGAGTAACATTATAACCACATCCAAATTGACCATGCAGTTTTGCGATAAGGGTGATAAACCCAAAAATGCCAATACAAATGTTCTTCCAATATTGATACATTCCTGTCCGGAGGATTTTTCAACCGTGGAATATTTTGATGTAAGTAAGCTAATTATGGAAATAAAATAATTAAATCTACATCCGGAGCGAAGTTGTATTTTTACATGGCTCTAGTTCATATGTTTAGAACAAGAGAAATACTATTTTATTACCATTCCATAATTTTATAAAAATAACGAAAATGTGTACTTTACACAAAGCTTTTTTCTTAATATAGAATTTAAAAACCAAATATATTGGACGGCTCGTCATATATGCACCCGTGGTAAGTACCAGCATGAATGTAATAAGCGATCTGGAGCTAATGGACGGCATTGCGGTTTTGGTGCGTCAACAAATGGAAGGTGTCGGACGTAGCAACAATCAGGTGAGGATACATTACACACGAAATTCCCTTTCTTCAGACTCAAACGTGGTTGAAATTTCAATTACTTCTGTTTTTTCTGTGTAGTGGATTAGCCCTCTCGGTTGCGCTATGTTTTCGTTGCAATTACATTTGTCGTTGGATTCAGCCTTGGGTAGACGTCTGCCATTATTGCAACACATTATCGGTTTGGCTATGGTGACCACATTGAAAGGAAATCCGACTTATAAGGTAAGAAATAACAATATTGCCATATGTTTTAAAGCGTTAAAGATTTAGCAGGAAAATCCTGAATCGGTCAGGAGTATAATAGAAAATATGGTTTCTAAAATATGAAATGATTGTTGTAAATTCAACGAAAATAAATTGTTTTAATTCTAAAATACCTGTATGAGATATCATAATCGAACCGAAACTAAAATATTCCATATATAATATTTGTAGTAGAGATTTACACATACTCATTATACCCTGAATAGAATATATTAATTTTCCATGTAGTTTGTAACACCCAGAAGGAAAAGTCGAAGACCCTATAAAGTATATAAATAAATGATCGGCGCGACGAGCTGGCTGTGTTTAGTTATGTCCATATGTCTGTATATACGCGAACTGGTTTCTCAGTTTTTGAGATATCAATCTGAAATTTTGTACACATTATATTCTCCACAAAAACTGCTCTTTTGTCGGATCTGCCGATATAAGACTAGCATATAGCTGCCATAGAAACTGAACGTTCAAAATTACGTTATTTTACGGAAAACTCTTTTATTTATCAAAATACATATGTCACCATATTTAACACAGATTCTTGTTCAAGGCAAAGCTAAAATATCCGAAAAAAAATTTCAATTTGGACCACTAACATATGTATTACCGCTGTAAAAACTGAATGGCTAAAATCATGTCCTTGCATGAATATCTTTTTTTATTTATTGAGATATTTTCACGAAGTTTAATATAATAATATATTCGGAGACAATTTTTCAATTTCCGAACACAAATTTTAGAACGGATCTCTATAGCATATAGTTGTTACACAATTCATGTATAGAAAACTATTTCACTTGACAAGATATCTTAATGAAATTTTGATGGATTATTTAGATAACCATTAGAACAACAACAACAATAACAACAACGAAGTTTTGTATGGATTATCAAGATAACGCTACAATTTCCGATCAAAATCAAGTTCTTGCATTGAAAGTTTTTTTGTGGAAAGTATAATTATAAAAAATGCCAAGCAGTGCAGTTCAAGGTTTTTGTGCTAATATAGTCCTTGGAACGATTTAGAAGAGTTCTTGAATATCACATGGGAGTGTATTAAAAATCCTTTATAAACTGCGCTACTTGGAACACTAGTTCGAGATTAAGCCTGTTGGTGCCTAATTTCCTAATAATATATGCAGTGTAACAACAATGTTTAGCTCAATTATATTCATTTATTTAACCTTTCGCAACTTCATCACATTTTAATGTTGTTTGGGTCTCGTATTGGATAACAATAGATTATTATTCTCTTGGTATTTAAAGCCAATATGCCATACATTTCATACCCTAAATTCTTTCATATACATAGGTACGTACATAAACAATTAAATTTTAGATATTCAATTTTTTAATATAGATTACTTATTTGTACATACATATATACGTGCCATATTGATGTATGTATGTATCTCATTATCATGTTTGCTAATCTCATTGGAATTACTGTCTTTTGGTTATCTGTAAAATGTGTAATTAGTCGTTTTAATTATCAAATCATTATGTATTTACAATTGCATTCTTTCGAAACAATGTCTGACAATTATTATCTCTAACGTCCCCGAAACATCATATACTCACATATAACATAATCATAAAGAAGATTTTTAAGAAATAAATGAAAAGCTATATCTATTTGTACTTAGTACGTAATAGGAATTAAATAAATGTTAAAAATTTCGTACAATATAATTTAAACACTTCATGTTATGTTCTTAAATCTTTCCTGTATTTTTTTTATCAACAATTATTTACAATGATTATCAAATAATGTAATTTCTTTGAAAATTGTACTTGACAGTAGTATATTTGATTTACCCTATTTCGGGTATATTTCTAAACGTACACACTAAGCATGTGCATATACATTTAAACATAAATGTGTTCGCTCGCTTTTAATACTTAAATCTAGTTTACAATAAACTTTTTTTCTTTTTGTGCCACATGCCAAAGTGTCATACTCAATTTATAAACATGCGTTGATACATATATGTATGTACATATGTGTCTCAGTTCCTTTGGGTGGCCCCGCCTTTGATGAGATACACAACATATTGTAGATTTGATTAAAATACTGACTCTGCCGAACGTGACAATTGTACGGGGTGTGAGGGACTGCGCGATAAAGGTTTTTTCGGCAATCGCTCCAAAAGCGAAAGCAGTTTCGCGAAATCTGGCCTGTCGTCCGCTTGAAATGACCAGCAGAGCATAAGTATGTCTTTGACATCACGCGACGTCTGTAAGTTGGCTAATGTTTGCTTCATACCACGTCCCACCTGCCAAATGACCGATTCTGGTGGCTGGGACTTAAACGGGAATTCGCCACATAAAAGCTCATACCATACTGTCCCGAATGAATACACATCCGATGCCTTTGAGAAGGGTAAAATTTCTTCCGTCGGCTTAACTGGCATTAGAGCACGCATCAGTTCAGGTGCCAAGTAGCATAACCACCCATTAGGCACTCCTAGACCCATTTCGCAATATAGTAATTTAGTGGAACTAAATAGACCGAAATCGGTGATAATCACTTTTCCGTTCTCTAAAAAAATATTCTTTGTGCGTAAGTCCTTGTGATGAATGCCACGAGCGTGAAGATAGCCCATACCTTGTGAGATTTGTTGCGCTACTAGCGTTGTACGGTTGATGGTAAATTTATCGCGACGTGCGTGAATGTAGGTGTAAAGTGTATTGCCTTTACACAATGACGTAACAATGGCTAAATGGGGTGGGTTCATGCATGCACCCATAAATAGTACTAAGTTTTCATGACGAGTCTTCTTAAAATTGGCCACTTCCAATTTAAATGCCTCTAACATGTGCTCATCGTCCAAGTAGTCTTCTTTGAGTAATTTAACCGCTACATCACCATGCCACAATGCCCGATGTACAGTGCCAAAACGTCCCTTTCCGATTGATTCCAACAAATGCAAATCGTCATAGGGTATATCCCATTCTTTAAGGGATAAAGAATTTTGTCTTGGCCAATTTCCCGAATCACCATCTTCGGTAGAATCTAATCTGATCGGTGTGCGATCAGAGTCCGTACTGGCTGAAGTACTACCCGACAATGAGACGGTTTTATCACTATCATTGGATTTGTGTGTATCGGCTAGTTCGGAAAATGGATCGCGCTTATCGACACCGGCTGAGCTGAGTTTACGCGGGTAAAACGAGCCTGTTGTGCTGACTATGCTTGAGCTGATGGAATGTACGGTGCTATTAGTGGAAGCAGTTACGCTCGGAACATTAGTACAGCTATAATAAGATCCCACGCATGTAACAACAGTGTTGTTTGATAAACTGTCACTACCATGGCTCGATTTGTTGATTGAAGATGTGAGCGAATTGTTGCAATCGTGGAAATCAGACTGCTGTGAGCAATTAAATTCGCCACTCGTCGAATCCGTTCCACTAGTTTGCGAGGAATAAAGTGTTTGCGTAGTACCACCCGCAGCTTGATTACAGTTAGATGTGATGGTTACATCTGGAAAATTAAAAAGACTTGCGTGCTTGTGGAATGAGGATGGAGTGGATAGCATGTTAGAGCTCGTGCTTGAGCTGCCACCACCGGAAGAGCTCATCATATTCCCACCGCTCGGAATGAAAACAGCTCCCGCATGTGCTGTTACCTGCTGTTGTTGGAGATTGAATAGTGCTGGACTAGACGGACTCGAGCTATTACAACTTGAGGCGGGTGAACTACTATCACGCTTTTGCCTTTGAATTGGTGATGTATTGGCTGTGGTCTGACTATGTTGCAACGAAGCAAATCCTCCATGATCATTAATTGTTTTCTTAAACTCATCGACAAATTCCGAGGGTAGGCCACATGATGGTGGTACATTTTGTTCACAGTCCTTATGACAACGATACTTGCATTCTTTGCACTTCAAACCGAAGAACATTTGTTTTTGACAAAGGTCACAAGTTGACATCACCTGGAAGACCTTGGCAAAACGATGTGATATCGTGTGCCCCATGCCTAATGGCAATGTGCCCGGAGATCGTGGTACTTGAAGATTGTTTGGATTATTATTATTTTCTACAAAAACATCCGAGCTAGCAGACGAAAAACTATCAGGGCTGGGGTCGGTGTTCAGGCGGGAGCGTGACAATGTTGATTTGTTGTTAGTCATCATTGATGCGCCAACTACCGATGACGCTAATGATTGTGATTGTGGAGAACCAGTACTTGATAATGGCGTGTCGCGAAATTGAGACCCATTTGATTTGGATTTGGCTAATGGTATCATTGTACCGTCCGGATTGCTGGCAGGTATATTGGAAATAATACTGGAAATATGCGTAGGTGTATGTTGTTGCATGTTGGATAATAACGTCTGATGTTTTTTCATTGGTGGTGGTGTGCCAGCCGGTTTGCAACGTAGTGGAGTGCCATTTACACTGCTTCCTCCACTGCAAGCCGTACTGAAATTGCTGATTATACTAGTGGGTGTGAATGGAGAATTAGGTGGTGATGGTGTTAGCGTCAGTGTTAGTGTAGAACCTTGTATACTAGACAAATCGTCAGTGGTATTATTGATTGCTGCAGTTGATGATGATTTACATGTGTGATCGTGAGAAGGCGACTGACGACTATTTCCCGCTGATTGGTGATGGTGTGGTTTTCCTTGTTTGGTAAGCATTCGATGTGGTCGTGGCGAGGCTGTTACGCCGATATTTCCCATACTGCTACGGTGATGGTGATGATTATGATGACGATCCCATGAGTCCCAAAACAATTGTTCAGTCAGAGGTTCTTTCTTCTCAGTAGAAACATTATTTCCACCTATGGTGCTATTGGTGGAGTTTTCACTCTCCACAATGCTTAGGCTTTCTTTACATTTACGTAAGTTCTGCATAGCAGTTGTAAGCCTTCTTATATCTTCATCTTTTCGATAACTCGAATTATTGCTTAACAAATGCTTAAGTTCCTCATCACTCTGTTCTAGAAGTTGCTCTAATGTGGACAAGCGGGTCAGACAAATATTTGATGATTCTTGACTTATTCCAACAACTCGTAGCCATTTTTTTAACTCCGTGCTAGTAGTATGAGATAAACCGCTTGCTGGTATCCTTTCATTTAAACGTGATTTGGTTAATAACAATTTTGAGAACATTCGAACTAATTTCGACTCAAGACTACGGATTTCTTGCTGAGTTAAAGTAGCGCTTGTGGCACATTGTGTACGCAAGCCCTCTAAACGATCGGCCGATATATCTATCATATCCTGTATGACATCAAGATCGTTGACAGGTAACGGAGTTGTGTCTGCGGATGTTGTGGTCATTTTTCAGGGGTAGCGACGGTGTCGATGGCAGGGTGCGGAGTACTATCCGGTTACTGCATTAAAAACAAAAAATAAATTTACTGAAGTAAATTAGACGTGTTATGGAAAGTAACTAGAACAACAATATTTTTATTTCATTTTTATAAATACCCATACGTATATACATTGTTTATAGATTGCTGATACTCCAAATGCATTTTTCGGGTGGTATCATTATGATCACACATTCTTTTTTTGTTTTGCTTTTGTTGTTTTTATGTTGGTTTGGTCTCGGTCGAAGTCGGCTTTTTGCCGCATATCGCTCGTTTCTTCTACCGTCCGTCTTAACTACTTGTCTAGCGTATCCTTAGGTGGTAACGAAAAATACGCACCAAAAAAAGTACAACTCAACATAATCGATTTTTCATTTGTATATGAATTAAGTTCGCAAGTGTAGAATAATGGCTTAGAAACATGAAATACAAATCATTAAACCATTGCGTTACACTTGTATATGCAATTATATCTGCAAAGTGAATTCGACGCCAATTCTGGAAACATTGTGATTACAAATGCATCCTTTTTTATTCGAATAGCACAGTTCATTGCGATCAAAGACAAGGTTTGAGAAAAACGTTTCCCATTTGTATAATGTATATTAGATTTAATATTCTTTTATTTGAACACACTTCAAAAGAATTTCACTTACTTTTTCTTTTAAAGCAACTTTGTTACAGGCTGCCTTTTTTAAAAGAAAATAAACGTAATTTTTCGGTAAAAACTCGTGCTGAAAAATTTGTAGTATTTTAGAGACAACTAAACTAGCGAGTAAGTAAAGCAGCGATTGCACGAATATCTGCAATAACAGAAAATAATAAGCGAGTTGCCACATAATTCATAAATGATTAATGACAAAATTAATCCTGGATGTATATTAATTTTTTTCCCTGATAAAAATAAAAAGTATTTAAAATTCAAAACCCGTTTTCTCTTTAAAAGGATCTTGATATTCGTTTAAAATGGCCCAATGATATTTATGCAAATGGCGTGCAAAAGATTGGTGGTCTTATTGTGAAAACAACAATGTTCGGTTCGAAAATCATTGCAAATATAGGATGCGGAATTAATTTGGATAATGAAAAACCTACAACTTGTATCAATTCCATTATTGCAAAATATAATCAGACAAATCGTACGAATATACCAATTCTTAAATATGAGGAATTCATTGCATTAACATTTAATGAAATTGAAAACATCTTGGAGAAGGTGAAGTCGGGCGATTTTGATTACTTTTATGAACTCTATCACGAACATTGGCTACATAAGTATTAATTTGATAATACTTTCTTTATTAATACTTATCATTCCTAATTTTTTATAGTTTACAAAAGGTAAAAATATACGACAAGTTTGGAAGCCAACAAGAGGCGACTATCATTGGTATTGATCATGTTGGTTATCTTCAAGTTAGGACAGTTGACGGTACAATAGTATCAGTTCAACCGGATGGAAATAGTTTTGACATGCTGCAGGGACTAATAGTACCTAAATATAATTAAATGGAAAACAAAAACCTTTTACGAAATTTGTTCTAAATCCATAAAATCACTATTTGTTAAAGTGCAGTTGAAACCTATTTAATATATAATATAATGTAACAGTTGTTTCTTAGCTAAGTTTGAATATAAGGTATACTAAATACTTGTTAGTAAATTTGCCATGACATTGGAATCTATTTACGAATATAGACTTTGAAATGTAAAAAAAAAAAAAATAAAAATATTGATTCTGTATCTAATAAAGCAACTAGTTCATCTAAAAAATTTAAAACTCCAAAATCCGTTCAGCGTTAAGAAATTAAATAATAATAATATAAAAAATCAATTAATAACATATTTGCTTTTTATATAAAATATAATATGTTAATAAATTTCTTAGATGATGATGAAAGTATTTTGTTAATGTGTTTATGATATATTATTACTTAGTTTTGATTATCAATTATTTAAGAGCTTTTGAACGAACGAGAACTACAGTTATTTTATATATTATAAAATCGGATTAATTTCTTGTCTTGTGATTAAGTTTTTACTTAAACCATAAAACACTTTTTATGTTTTTACTATTAGTCTTTCTAATATATACAATTGTGTTCCTTGTTCTTACTTTCGTGTTAAGGAGGCTACACAAAAGTTAGCGTAATAATCTATTATTGTAGTTAGCGAAATATAACAGATTTTGTGTAGTTTTTTTTAGATAAAAATATAAATGTATACATTATTATTATGAAAACWATATAATACATTCTAATATATAAGCTTCCTATTCTATAACACCCACAAACAAATAGTTAATTAAAAAAATTCCATATATAATATAGACGAGTTTTTCTTAACAAAAAAGCTTTGATTCTATTTTGATGCCATTCGCTCTTATAAAAAGGATTACTGGTGGTAAGTTTTGGTATATATGTGTATAATATTATTATTATTATATATTGGTTTTGAAAATTATTTTCAAACATTTTTTAGAGTTTATTTTTAAAAATTTTTTTAAATTTATTTTTAAATATTTACTTCTATTGTTGGTCTCCATCATTTTGTGTAGAGCTAACAATTACCATTTTAAGGGATTTAAGTGAAGATACAACACTGTTTACTTGAAATGTCATTCGTATTTCTGTTATCCGTATTTCGCAGATAATTTTTTTGTGCTCTGCGAAGAAAAATTGCATTTTAAATGTGGCTATTTGAGAGTTTAATTGTAAAGATAATGCTCATGTAATACAAATTTCCTTCAATTATTTGAGGAATTCGCAAATAAAATTTATACTACAAAGTGTAATTTTGTTGTAGTAATTTTATGTAAAATTGCAGCTTCATTGGACAAGTCATTACATACACATATACACAAAGATGTGCAACTAAACTATATGGATTTTTTTTAATATAAATAGAATCGAATTCTACGGTTAAAGAATTTGTGCATGTGAGTGTCTGTAGGAAGGACACTGATTAGAGGTTACATTAATAGGCTATTAGCTATACTAGAATAAAGAGGAAAAAAAAAAATGGCTCAACGTAACAATGCTCGCATCGATCGCTTTGCTCAGATGACAAAGCAGGAGGAGATAATAGCAAAAAAGCGACAGGAGATTTTGGAGAAGCAAAGAACAGCGCAACTGGCTAAAGCAGTGGCAGCAGCACAGACTTTAGCTGCAAAAATGAAGTCGGACGTTAATAGCACTGAAACCACTGAAGTAATAAGTGAGACTAGTGCGGATACTAAAAAGGATGACACTTTACTTCCAACGTTAGTTACTACTGATATGATACCTAAAGAAAAGCCATCCACTAGTGATAAAAGGTTTGCACATCAAATTAGAATTTATGAAAAAACATGTTTATATCTACGATTTTGTTAGCGATTCGTTGGTAAAAAGTAAAAAGGAGGAAATAGCAGACACACCTACCGCAAAATCATTGAATAGTTTCACAGGAAAAACTGGAAAAATATCATTTGGTTTAAAACGTTTACAAGCGCCGGTTACTGAACAACCACCACCAAAAGTTGTTAATTCCTTCTGTAATGATGGGTCATTTTTGGAAAACTTCAAAAAAATTTTAGAAAAACATGAGCCAAAGCAATCACAGGTTATATCAGCGTGAGTACATCTAGAGTGGGGTTTTGTATTTATAATTTTACGCACTTTAAATATTTGTTAATATATAGGCCAGAATCAAATGCAGATTCTACAGTATCTGATCAGCCATCTGCATCTCAGTCTACCGAAGACAGTGTAGTGGAATCGAATAGGTCAATAGACCCGAATGTGCAAGGTCAACACCAGATTTTGCAAGCACCTCAACAACACGCGATTTCACAACCAACTATACAGCAATCTGTGTCGCATCCAATTGTAGCGTCGATGACTCCAGCACCAATGCAGCATCAACACTCGGTGCCCTTGCCACCACAGCAGCTTATGCGGTCATTGCAACCGCCGCAACAAACTCAGCTTCAGCAACTATCAACGCTACATCAGCCACAGCCAGCAATTCAACAACAGTCACCGCAAGCAAGTCTTTTGCACCCACCACCATCAGCACAACCACAATTTCTTTTTAATCATCCACCACAACCGCCGCCTGTCCCACCGCCCCATCCTATGCCGGGAGCATTTTTTGCAGCCGCACCGCCTCCACCTCCTCCACCTCAGCTGCCCATGGCTTTAACGTTGGGACCGCTCTATATGATACCGGCGCCAGAGCCTATGCAACTGAATACCATACCGGCGCCCAAGGAATTTGATTTGAATGCCATACCGAATCCACAGATGAACGTGGAGGCAATTCAAATGCCACACGGTATACAACAAAGGCATCACCAGGTATTGCAAGCACAACAAACACATCAGCCACAACAATCGCAACAGCTACAACAACACGATCAAAACCAATCACATCAACAATTGCAACAGATGCAAAAACCATTAAGCGATCATACAAAACCACCACCGCCACCTCCGCAATTACCGCCACCGTTGCAACAGTTGCAAGGGCAATTGCCGGCATTATTACAACATCCACAGCAATTTTCAGCAAACCATCAGCAGCAACCACCACCACAACAACAGCAACTATCACAGCAAACACCACCACCACCTCCACCACCTCAACAACAACAAGTCGAAGATCAAAGCAGTCCCACTCTAAATGCAGGTGTGTATTAATGCGCAATTCTTCAATAATGTTGGGAAAAACGCCAATTTGTTTATGTATGGATATTTCTCTTGCCCGAAAGCGCCTTAACCATATTCGACACAATCTAATAGGTGTCAAAATCTTATAATTACTTTTGTTTCTTAAACGATATATCATTGGATTATTATTTTACAAACAAGGCTGCTTAAGTGAGCTTTTTAGCTGTGGGTAAACTAAGGCAGATTTTTTTTTTCAATTCTAGTTTTCTTATACATACATACATACATAAATTTGTTGGTGCCTTCTTCGCTAAGCTTGATTTTAAAGGATTTTATGTAGTTTTTTCAGACAACAATGACCACAGTTGCTCGCGCATACAGTTACCAACAACTGTTGAACACTTAATCGAGTTGGTTGGCGAAAATGGGGATGGTTATGAAGATAAAATACGTTCGCATAAAAACGAACTACATCCGGCATTGTGGTAAATTTTGTTGTTGCATATCATACTATGTATTTTTTTTTTTTGCGGTATAAAACATAAACATTTACAGAAAACGTAGTATTCGTATTTAAATGGTTAAGTGTAGTCAGAGACATGAAAAAATTACAATTTTAAATATTTTTTGCCTTTTTTTAAATTAACATCATTAAGTAAGAGTACGACCTAAATTAAAATTAAAAAAATAGTAATTTTAAAGGTAGTGTCTGTCTATGTCGATCAAGTTGCAAGCAAAGCTCCTTGCGGTGACAATAACTAATCCTTGCTGATTTATAGTCTAAAATCAATCGGACAAAAAATGTTTTTTTTTTTATTACGTAATCGAGTGATCTGATCGAAGCTTCTTTAATGAACAAAATTACGACCAATTGAAAGATTTTTTAGGTTATCCAACCAAAAAACCTACAGTTAATTGTTTATATAAAATCAAAATTAACAAAAAAAAAAAAAAAAAAAAAAAATCCTTCAGGGCATTCGTTTTTCATGTTTTCAAAAAGCTGTATAAATTTCATTGAAATCTGTCGAGCGGTTTTTTTATTTTATATTGTGGTCACCAGTTTATAAAACTTACATAGTTTTGGTATTCAAAATTTTCAGAGAAAATTTCTTAGATAATATACTTTAAGAGATTGCAGAACAAATATTTGTTTTAAGTTCTGACTACCTCTAACCTATTAAATAAAAAAAAAAAAAAAAAAAAATGCGCGAGACCAATGTCAAAAAGCAACGGCTTCAGCCATGCATAATAACCTTACAAGCACATGCTAATAGCTTTGGACTACGCCTAATTCTCACAATATCTATTCATTCTGATTGCTACTTGTGTATGTGCATTGATTTACCGACATCACTTCGGTCTACAATCGGCACAGGTCCGATTTTTTATTCAGTACTATAAACTCGGCAGCAGACCTAAAACTATATATGGCATGTTTTCTGCCGCTCCAACAACATACGTACATATGTATGTACATAAGAAACAAACCGTTTATTTACATGAATAATGTCATAACTCAAAAAATTCGTTTTTTTTTCAAGTGAGCAGTTTAAAGTTTTCTTTAGCCTATTAGCAAATATAGAAAAATACCATAGGTTTATTGAATAAACTAGTGGCTTTAATATTAGTTTGTCAAAAAAGCCTTGCGGTATTTTTTTATTGAATTGTTCATAAAAAAAAAACTTATGCCCAGCTCTTGACCGATGCTACGACTGCTCTATGCCGGCCTCTTTCGACCAATTCAGCGATTTTATTGCAATTTTTGACGACAGGCCTTCCGGAGCGTGGCGCATCTTCGATCAACTCTACACGAGAACGAAAACGTTGAAACCATCGTTGTGCGGTGGAAATGGAAACTGTATCGGGTCCATAAACTGCACAAATTTCCTGTCCTGTCCTAGTCCTGTAAAATATGCCGTATTTTCTCTTTATTTTGCTCCATGTTTGCGACGCTAAAACTCACGAACGACTTAAAAGAAAATAATCAATCAAACACGTGTTAGTGCGTGAAATGAGCTTTCCAAAAAGGTATAGCATGACCCGATGCGACGAATTAAACTAAAACTACGCGCTCTCAGCGCCAACTATCGAAAATGCCGCAAGACTTTTTTGACAACCTAATATATTAAATGAAATGCTGGGCTTAAGTGAACAAAATAGAGTGTAATAAAGCTGTTTCTTAGTCGTAAACATTTTTAACTTTGAATTATGGCGTTATTTGTGAAAAATATAAATTAATTCCACTATCATAAGTTAAATGTGTGCATATTGCTCAGAAAAAAAGTACTTCGACGATTATAATATTATCAGCAATACTGTTTCAAAACAAAATATTACGTTTTACGAGAAGTTTAGCAATATGAAAAGTTTAATTACCTTTTCATCAATATCATTGTAACACAAAAATATTGTTCTTTCTGAAAAAAAAAATAATAATAGTAAACTCCACCCTCACACAACTCCATATGTGTCGTTGTTGTGGTTAAAAAATGATGAAGTGGTATATCGTGATACTCTTTTCTCGACTGTTTATTTTTCTATCCATCAGAATCCATTTCACAATATGGACAGTGACATTGCTCACGTTACTGCATACTTAATCTAAAAAATTGTTGTGTTTTTGAGTTATGACACTATTCATGTAAATGAGCGGAATGTTATCCCTATGTATTCGATTTACTACCACAGTTTTTGAACTTTTTTTATTTGTCGAAAATGAAATACATGGTTGGTGGATATGAACATTTTTGTAATATACAACGAATTTACCACATTTTCTGCCTCGATTTGGAGCAATAAAGCAACATCAACTGTTAACGGGATTTCAGCGTGAGTCAGCAATTCGTTGGTGTTGACCTCAGGACTTTCTTTGAATGGGAGTTGAGTACCAACGTTTTCGTCTATGCGAGAGCGTCCAAACCATTAAAGTAAAATGCGAATAAACTAGTTAAAAAAGGCATCTAAGCATTGAGCGCAGGACAAAATCGATAAACAGTATCAGCGCTACAGTTAATATATAAAAATGTTTTTTTTTTTTTTTTGGAATTACGTTTGTTTTTATTATCGTTTTTTATTCAAATTTTAATTTAGGTTTCTCTTTGAAAAAAATTGCGAGCAATATCACAATTACCGGCAGCAATTGAATGGACATCGTCGCCGCACGCAACACGATCAACAGGTGCAACAGCAAAGTCAACAGCAGTGTAAATCGCCAACGCACCCGCAAAGGCAAAATCAGCTGCTAACGCGCTCGGACAATCACAATCCGGTTGAAGTGGTTGAAGAGGATTCTAGCGACAGTGGCGAGCTACAAGAGCATCAACAAGAGGCGCTCTACCGCTACCATCAGAAACAAAGACAACTGCAACAACAGCGTGAACAATCATCGCCGCAAGGTGAGAACCAACATGATGCAGCTGACAAATATGACCCGGAGTCGGCAATAAGCGGTGATGTGGACTCCGATGACGAATACATGCGTGGTATGTTGGATCGCAATCGTGATAACTTAAAGCGACGCATAGAGTGCCGCAATGAGTTGAGCGAAGAAGAGCGCCAAGAACGCGAGGCTGAGGCCGAGTTAGAGGAGCAACGTCGCCAAGAACGCAAGAAGCAGCGAAAAAGTCGCTGGGGCGAAAAAGTGTTGGCGTCTACCAGCGCCGGTGCCCCATCAGATACATTGTCAAGTGAGCAAAGTTAAATCCGTTGATATTTCGCATATTATATTTACTAATACTAATTTTGTAACTTAGATGTACCTACTTCGTTCGCCAATCAAAATAAACCGATGCTAAGCGCCATAACACGCAATGATCCCGCATTGCTGCAATATGCGCGCCTTAATTATGGTTCCACTAATCTAAGCGAAGAGGACTGGAAGAAATGCGAAGAGCATTATAAAGTGAATCTGTTGTATCAGGACATGATGAGAAAACGACAAGAGATCGATCGACTCGCACGCAGCGGTAAATTCAAATATGAATACGACTCGGATGAGGATGTCGATGGTGGCACATGGGAGCATAAACTACGTTGCGCTGAGATGGAAGCCACCAAATTATGGGCAACAGCATTGACGAAACAAAGTGAGGGCAAACATCACATCGGTGACTTTTTGCCACCCGAAGAGCTAAAGAAGTTCATGGAACAATATGAAGCGAAGAAGAGTAACCGTCAACCCGATTTGAGCGATTACAAAGAGTACAAATTGAAGGAGGACAATATTGGTTTTCAAATGTTACAAAAATTAGGCTGGAAAGAGGGACAAGGTTTGGGCACAGATGGCGGCGGTATAGTTGATCCAGTTAATAAGTGAGTATAAAACGAATTATATTTATACCCTGAACAAAAGGGTGTATTAAGTTTGTCAAGAATTTTTTAGCACCTAGAAGCAAACGTGGTTTCGGTGCAACCGAACTTAACGTTTTTTCTTCTTGTGTTTAAGTTATCGTTCACATTTCTACTTATATTTATACTTGTAAAATAATAAGTAAATTGAAACTCAAAACTGACTTTAAACTTTAAGGGCACCACAAAGGGACGGTAACCAAGGTCTGGGTGTGGCCAGCGCCGCTACGCCTGAGGATTGCGACAATGAGTATGATGCCTACCGTAAACGCATGATGTTAGCTTATCGCTTTCGACCGAATCCACTGGTATTATTAACTTTTCTTTTTTTAATTTATTGTATTCATGAATTTTATTGCGTTAATTTTTTACAGAATAATCCACGCCGCGCCTACTATTAAACGGAAATGCGGGCACATTATTCGCAAAGGCTTATGGATGAACTAAAACCTTTGTGTGTCTTAATGCGATGTAATGCTCCTACAAATATCTATTAATATTTATGTACATTTACATATTAACTATGACTTAAAATATCCTTTAATCCAACAAGTTCTCTATAAAACCACAAAGTGTAAAACAATTATTCATGCATTAATTACGAAGTAATCACAAAATACACATTCGGTATTTCCTTGTTGATGTAAAATAGTAACATTTTTTATTTTCAATATTCCATTAATATTTTTTCATTGGCTGAGCTTATCAAATTACAAACTAATAATACTACAAGCAAAAAATTAATATACTCTTCAATGTCCATACATACATATGTAATACATACATACAAATATGTTAATAAGTGCGTTGGTTGTTTTTGTTTTAATCGCTTATAAAACGCCTTGGGTATTTGTACTCAAAACTACGAATAGAATGTCAAAACAGGCGTTTGATTGCCACGCGCCAACACTACAGGACAATTAATATCGGTGGTAAGCATCTCCAGCCATGACATGTATAACGCAGCTGATATCGCTTCCTGTGCATGAAAATCAGAAATTAAAATGTGTTTTTTTTTTGTATTTGAAAATACGCACCCTTCGCGGCATAGGCAGCGACATAACGACGAGTGTCGCCTTTGAGGAGTGCTCAACAACTAATTCGTGTATGCGCAGCTGACGGTRAGTTTTCTCTTCTAACGTGTGCAGCTCTTCTTCAAGATGACGCATTTCATTGACGGAGTTGTGACAATAACTTTGTATGAGCTGTCTGTGCTTAACCAGCGTGTCCATGCGCGGTTTTGTAGACAGTCCCTTAAGCATTATTAGCTCGGAAAATTTGATGCGGAATTTCTTGAGTAGATTAGCCATGCTGCAGAAGACATGAGTATATTTAGAATCATAATAATACATACATATGCGCTGACTTTTGTGACGGCACTTGTCGTTACTTACTTCTTCTCTTCCATTACCTCGTCCTTGCCATGACTCAATGCAAATACGCGTAACTTACAATTTTGATAATTTGAACGTAGCGACAGTATATAAGGCAGCAACATGGTCAGACCTACGAATAGTTGTAAAATTTATTGCGTATTAGCAAAGGAAATTTTTTACAGCGTATCCATGCTTACCGCCATCATCGTAAAGCCAGAAAACGTCTATGGTACCCTTGGGCTGCTTACGCAGGAATATCGTCACAGCGTCGAGCACATCTTTCGGTACTTCGGAACCACCTTTCGTTAAGTACTTTATACCGTCACCTTGACTTACTGTATATTTGCGTGTACTTGTCGTCATATTGGGCATAGATGGCACATTGGTCACTCCGAATGAGGAATTGGTGCTGTCAACGCCAGCCAGATTCAAATTAGAGTCCACATGCAGCAATTCCGAAGCGGCATTTGCGCGCGGCATCAAGGCATTCGTGTAGCCCAGTTCGTTGGCATTATGCATATGCCTGCCATTTATCGGTATTTCGGGGTTTAATTCGGAAAATTCCAAACCATTCGGTAGACGCAGTATAACCACGCCCATGCGCTGCGAAAATGTATTGCTGAAAGGACAAATATGATGATTAAGCAATGTGTTTACGTGAAGCAGCATTTTTAATCCAATGATACTCACTATAAAATATTGAAGTAGCTTTCCACACACTGTCGACGACATTGCACCCAATCGGTTTTGTAGCCCATCAAGACGATGTTCGGTGTTAATTTGCCAAAGCCAGTGGTTTTAATTAGCGCATTAACGCCTTCTTCCATGGACAGGCCATCGATGACATTATAGAAAGACTTAATTTTGCGTGCATCCAAATATTTCTGACCATCTTTTATGACACTCAAACGGTTTTTGTAGCTCATACTCATCTATGAGAAAAGCTAAACGTTACAAGAGATTCTCGATTGTGTCGGAAACGTGCCGCCAATAGACTTACCGGGACAACATTGCCAATAAACATTAGAGAATTGTGTCTGGTGAGCATGTTGCCGAAATCAATTAGCGGTGGGCGACTGCTGGGATCGCCAGAGAGCACCAGTATTTGTGGATGGTAATTTTTCACGTGATCGGAGACGTTTTGCAGGCGATGAACGGCGGTTAGTGTGGCTTTATATTGTTGCTCTTGTGTTGAGGAGCCCCAGTTAGCTTCTGGCTTGCGATACATAACGATTAGGTACAGAGCAAATATAATGACTAACGTGATGAGAGAAGACTTCCAATCGATTAGGAACATAATCGCGATACAAAGTATAAATCCAAATAAGCTTAGCCATGTATTGTAATACTGAAATATAGTAATGCAAAGATATCATTAAATTGGTTAGAGTGAGCACATTTCGCTATATATCGATACTCACTTTGAATGTTGGTCGCCAGCCGAGTGGTTTTACAAATGATGCATGGAATGTGCAGAAGTTAATTAAGGCGTAAGAAGCCAAATAAAAATTTGATATAAGTGGAGCTATTACGTTCAGCTGGCCGATTAGTAAGAATCCTGCCGATATGAAGAAGGTAAGCACGTAGCCACGGTAAGGCTCACCATGTTTGCCATAAGGCTTGGAAAAGAAAATCAAACCGGGGTAAATTCGATCTATTCCCAAGGCTTGAACAAGGCGCGGCACGGAAAGTATGTTAGTTAAAGCTGTACTCAAAGTTGCAGCGAAGCAGCCGGCGTAGATAAGCGGACCCCAAATGGACATCAGTTGCATAATAGAGTATGAGTTGTGCAGCCCATATTTGCACGACTGTAAGCAAGCATGTGATTAATATGTGTAAGTGTAAGAATGCAATGAAGGTAGTTCCGACTACCGCGGATCTCTCGGCAATCAGAAAGGATAGTTTGTATTAGATCTTCGTTAGTCCGAGATCGTGAATTTATAATATTTTTTTTTTTCTTTTAGTTCTATGCCATTAAACTCTATATCAAATATTTCATTACCATATCGATATCAATAGAGCAAACTTTTTAATTAATTTATTTTAAAAATTCTTTAAATTGCCAAAAAATTACTTTGCATACCCTTAGGCGCTTACCAAGTCCTCTTTGCACGCCAATTCTGAACTGATTAATGTGCCATTAATCAAATCGGTTACATTACCGGAGGCATCTCGTGCCGCTGCACCGCCCGCGAACAAAACGAAAAGCGCATATGAAGCCATTGAAATCATCAGAGCCCAAAATGTGCCCTTAGGTATGGCTGCACCTGGATCCTTTAAGTCGCCGCAAATATTCGCACCCGCTTGTATGCCGGTCACACTGGGGAAGTAAATGGAAAATACACTGAAGAAATCCTGATTAACACCCTCTGAATAGCGATAGTCACCGCCAAAGTTTTCCTTGAAATTACTCCCTGAAAAGTAGTAAATCAATTGATCATTCGTTGACAGACTGAGGCGACTCGAGCCTAACTAAATTAACTTACAAGAGAAGCCAACAAAGCCTTTTGCGATTGCTTCTTGATCGCCACGTGGCCCGAGGGCAGCGCCAATAAGAAAATTGAAAATAGCCAGAACTATGGTGACGATCAAGAAATTTTGAGCCTTCGACTCCCACTCCATGCCTATGCAGCAAATAAGAATCAACACCACTATCGTACACACGCCAACGATGCGAACATCATTAATGCCTCCATCGATAATCTTGAGGTCATGACTTTCTGTTTAAATAGAAAAGCAATAACAATAATCCATATATACTAAAAATAGTTCCAAATTTTTAACACTTACTCAATAAGTCGTTTAATGAATCACAGAAACCGATAGTGTTCATGGAAGCAGCGACGGCATTCGCGAATGCAAAGACAACACCAACCGATGCACCAAACTCTGGACCCAGTGAGCGTGAAATGATGAAATAGACACCACCTCCCTTCACCTCACCATTGGTGCTGATTGCGGATAATGAGAGTGTAGTGATCACACAAACCACCGCCGAAATGGCGATAATGATTAGTGATTGCATTATACCGGACTCGGCGACTACCCAGCTGAGACGCAGGAACAACATGACACCCCAAATATTGAGTAAGCATGGTATGACGACGCCATTAATCCAACCTAATTTGATCATGTGACTATTGCTTTCGGGCGGCGGCTCAGGCATCTGGATGCTCTGTGAGTGAAAAATAATATTTATGTGCATTTAAATATATGTATGTACATATGCATGTATGTATGTTTGTATTTGGCTTTATATAGAAGCAGCAGCAGGCTCCAAGATTTGCTATCACCTGTCGAAGAACGAACGCAACAAACAGCTGAAAATCTTTTGGATGTTAGTCAGAATCAGAAATCACTACATCTGTAATTCCTAATCCTGCCTGTTCAACAGGAGTGACAGTCAACGAAAATACTTTTTTCGATTGTGAACAATTCATTGTCTTACATTTTCTGGATGGTCTTATGCTAAAATATCGCTTTTGTATTATTAATTGCTTAAGGCGGACCGCCTTAGATAATCATTATAAGTACACCCTTAAAATGCTGAGCGCTTCCTGCTATTCAATTCCAATAACGAGCTTTTAAGTTGAGCTTGCTGAGCCCTTCCTGCTATTCAATTCTAATAACAAGCGTTTAAGTTCAACGGTTTGCCGACTACTCTAATTCTTTCGGCAAACGTTTTGTTGGCAAGTGTTAAAGCAAAGTGGAACAATAATTTAAATTGTGTTGCTAATAGGTTTTAAATCGTTCGGTTGATTGTATAAGAAATGCCAAATTTGGCTTTTTTGGATGAAATCAAATCAAATTATTTGCTTATCTTCAATCACTCTCATTCGCTGTTTTAAATGTTTATGTTTACAAATGGTTGATTGCATTGCGGTAAATTTAAATTACAATAGTCGCTATTACATATTTACAAGTGTATATTTGTATATGTGTGTATATATATTTATACTGTGGGCAAAAAATAGTAAGAGATTTTAATTTGTATTGTATATACAATGTTCTACACCCAACTCTTTTTTTACACGGTATATACGTTCCTCAGATATCCGTGTAAATAAAGAGTTGGGTGTATATTGTAGTAAAAAACAGCTACTTTGCTTGAAGAATTCAGAGAATTTTATACTTAAGTTTTAGTTTTATCAATTTTCACACTAAGTGAAATCATTTATAAGTTATAGTGCACTGAAATCTACGGCAACAATTAAACAATTACAATTTTGATTTACAAATGTTACTCATACGTCATGTACACCACTGGAAAATACGTGAGCTGTTATGTTGATTTCAATCGGACATACTACACATATGTTTATGAGTAAAGGTTTTATTGCATCTCAATTTCAACAAAAGTTTAGTATGTGTTTGTGCTTATAATAATTGTAAATTTATCTGTGTACATACATACATATATATATACATAAATGCAAGTAGTATAGTTTTTTCCAAAAAAAAAAAAAAGTTGTSAATTATTCGTTAGCATTATAAACAATTCGTCACAGCGGAATTGAAGCAAATTTAAATTAATTAACGCAAAGTTAATGAATTTTGATTAGCATTGTTAGATCATCTGGTGATAGATGCATACACGCACACACGCATATTCACGTGCCCATACTGAACATAACAATTCGCATACTCATTTAGCTGCTTTTTGTTGGACGCCTTGGTGATAATGATCATAACTACATACGCTAATTCGCAACGTGGTGCTAATAATCGCTCGGCTAATGGAAATAAGTAGTCAGGCAATGAATTGCCAATTGTTGCGCATATTTTCGCATTTTTGTGCACTGATGTGCTTTTGTTTATACGCGTCTGTATATATATGAGTAGCTTTGTGTATTGTGTAATTTTTAATTTTGGTGCGCTAAATTGCTTGAGCGTCTTAAATGATCGCATCACTTATTAAGAAACTAATCGTGGGAGTTTAAAAGTTTTCTGCTATATACGCACAAATGTATATATGTGTAAATTATATATGTGGTGTCTGTATTTATTTTTTAACCACTGAAGTATCAATGAAAAATCAATTTCGCCAGTCTGCCTGTATATACATAATTCCTTATTTTAAGATATACACACATCGGATATAATATATGTAGCTGTCATATAAGTTTATCGATCAAAATCGAGTCCTCGTTAGGAAAACTTCGTAAGAGACTTTCTATAGAGCAAACAATTCTCTACAAAATGTAGCAATCGAGGTATTTCTTAAGTAGATGGATGCTAAATTTGAAAATTTCCATATGATAATTATAAAAATAGTATAAAAAACTGTAAGGCGAAGGCCATTCGCGTTACAATTAACAGCTCATACTCGAAGAACGTTTTAGAGGTACTTTAGAATCCATTTTTCAGAGTACCAAATAAAAAAATGTTGCTTTTACTCACCCTAATGTATACACTTCTCTGCTATTAGAAACTTGCCTATGAAGGATATTACAGCTTCGGTGCAGCCGCTGCTATTAACGCTTTTCTTTTACAATCTTATATGAACGGTCAGCACATATATAACAGTACCTATATACATAATTCGATGATTCCTTTAAATATTTTCTTTTAATAAATGAATGAATATCTCTAAACTATCGAAAAGTTGCCAGTTCTATAAGGCATTTCGCCAGAGCAACACTCAACTACCCAGTCAATAACAACAAAAAAAAGCACGGCAGACGTAGGGGCATGGAAAAAAATCAAATAAAAATTCGAGTGCTGTTGGTCGGTGGCAGCTACATGAATATCGAACATGCCATCAATATGTTAAATGACTGACAGAACCAGATATAACCAGAAAGATAGCACTAAGCGGACGTACATATGTGTAGTGGAAAAAAATTAGAATCAAAACAATTTCTTTTTACACTCTAAATCAATAGATTTGACAAATATTTATAGTACATATGTATATATATACATGCATAAATAAAATGGAATAAACGACATTGAAGATCTACTTCAATGTGACAATATTTGAACGGTAACAATAAGTCGCGGTGCTAATACTGCTACTGATACTATCAGAAGCAATTTTATGAAACAAAATAAATAATTAAAAGCATGTACTCGTACAACAAGTTGTTTGAAAACATACATACATTCATATGTTTTTATATAGAGGAAATTAAGAAAATATGACGGCACGATTCATCGAAACTTGGAAAGTTAAGAATAGAGTAAAAAACTGGCAGAACGCGAAATAGTAGAAATCTTCAATCATCAATCTCATTGGCAAAGCGTTTATGCCGCTTAGAAAGTTGTGAGAGTTATGTATTGATCCGCATAAAGCGATATACTACATGACCAGCCAAGGCTCCGTATTTACTGCGCCTTATAAGCTATCACGCTTTCATTCATCATCATTACTCGTTTACAATAACCTTATGAGTAACGCTTTAAGGCTGATAAGAAATATAGACGAATATTTATTGCTATTGAAAGGCCTGTCATGAGTAAACGCTAATTGAGTTATCTTTCGATCACACTTGCGAGGTGTTATCGGTAAATCTGAAGTTCTTGTCATCATTTACGTTGGTATAGAGTTTTAYTATATCGTAGATATATATATATACAAAATTTTACACTGTGAAAAATGTTCAAATTTCGAATACCAAGAATAGCTGAGAGTGGTAAGAGGCAAAAATAAAATAAAGCCTGATTTTGCATTTGAAAAATAAAACGACGAATGATCAATTGCAATTTCCAACGCTGGTTTGTGAAGGAGATGTTGCTCGTACAATCAGCTCATGCTCATCGGATTAGTAAAAATTATTTAGAAATCAGACGTGCATCTAATTTTAATTCTCATTTTACAAAACTATTTTTTGTTGGGACCTCTTATTGCACTTTCTCCGAATTTACCAGAGTAATGTATATATTTTTTATACCATTAGAAAGTAGATATTTCAACGAATATAAAGCGTATTGTTTTTATATAAAATTTGATATTTTGACTTGAGAATTTTTGATTGAAAATTAGCGTATTTACTGATATTTGGTCAATATAAGGAGAAGAAATAAAAATTACCATATAAATATTGTTTGGGACACAAGAACGTTAGTTGAAATCAAATTTCGTGGAAGAAAAAAATTGTTTGTTGAAGATAAAAATAAGAAATCCAAAAACTCAGTTGGTTGAATATTTTATCTAAATTTTGAGGTTATATGAAACAAGTTTTTATACAAAAGCTATGGCTACTTTCATTATCTATAACATTGCTATATAACCTTTTTTTATACACCCCGTAGTTTTGGCAGAAATCGAGACTGTTTTTAACCCTTAAAAAATCATGCTCTCCCGTCTTCAGATCGCCCAAAAATTATTTTTGTTTCAATGCTTGTCATTTAGCCCTCGTTTCTACAGTGTTTCACTATTATGACTTCCTCTATTTTTTCATTTTCATAGGCTCCTGCTAGTATATTAGGGAATTAGATCATCGGGTCAGAATGTTCGAGTGCCTGCCACTTAAATATTGATATTTGTCATGCATATACGTACAGTAGGGTGCGAAAATATGTACATTTACTTGAAAAATCTGAATCTAAATAGTTTCTTGGAAGTATATAGCGTTGCCTTATTTTAGTTATTTTGTCAAATAAAAAATCTGTCCATGCAATAACTGGATTTTGATCGTATAACAGCTATGTATATTCTACCGATATAGGCGGTTCCGAAAAACCAGTTTTTCGGGAAGAGGAAAATGTGTCTTAAAAATTGAGGGACTACTACGCGGGTACAGACGGCCACTGCATGATCAACTCAGCTCGTCAAGCTGATCAACTATATACATATGTATGTATCTAATATATAGGTTAGGTTTACAGGTTCAACCTTCTTTTTAGATTAATTTTTTTTGTTTTTTTATTTGAAAAATCATGTCACTCCCCACCCGCTTCTTACAACCTTTTTCTAATTGTTAAGCTTTTTGTCCCTTTAAATTCTAAAACAATATGCGCAGTTGTTGTGGGCTCTTGTATTATATTTAAATACGTTGCTTGTTATTGACTTACCTGTTCTTGCAGCTCGCCATGCAGTTCGCCAATCGATGGCCGCTTCATGTTCCTCTTTGATATTCTGTAATTATCTAATCTCGGTAATGCTTCTCTGTAAAATGTGAGATTAATGTCAATTTATTAGTATTGACCAGCGGCTATAAATACTTATAGTATTTTGTATTCAATTTACAGTTATAAAATGATATTATGGAAAGAAAGTGTTATATTAGAGTGATAATAATTATATAAAAAAAAATATGTACAACCTTGTAAAGGTGATCGTGAGCTTTCAAAACAGTTGACTGCTTTACCAGTGCTAGCTGAATGTTCCTACCAATTCAATTCTGATGAAATATATAGCTAGAAACCGGTTATAATGTTCTGTCTATCTGCATAATGATAAAATTATTAGGGGGAAAATTATCCAGACTCATAAGGAAGTAATAACTTTTTCCATCTCGACTGAGCTTGTAGTTAGAGCGCACTTGGTGACCAGCGTAAGGTAAACGACTCTGTTTTCATTTAAGTAGCCAACAAGCATCATCTGTCTGACTAATGTCACAACAAACATATTTATGTTCATTGGCCGGTGGGCTGCGAATGAACTTAATCACACAATAGTCACGTGTGCTTTAAAATGTATGTGAAGTGTTGTGTCCTCACCTGCTATTAATATAACTATTCTACTTGAGTTATCTCTGCCAAAGTCATTGACAACATTTTACATTCTTGTCATAATCTACGAACTGAGCTTGTTAAGCACCCAAATAATGTTAGACAATCGGTATGTTAGTGATAAGTTTTGCATTAAATTTCATCTTTACACATTATTTGATCTGCGCCTGGTTAGTGCTTAGGTGACGAACGCGCCACGATGTCATGCGATTCAAAAGTCAGCTTCCTGCCAGCTGGCCTGTATAAGTAAAACAGGTACCGTACCTGGCCTTTGCATAGGTAACTCTTGCGCTCTGATGTGTTTTAAAAGTCACGAGGCGAGCTCACGCGAAGCTGTCTCTCAGCTAACTCTATATAAATTAAGCAGGCACTGTGCCTGGACAGTGCTTAGGTGATGTGCTTTAAAAGTCATGAGATGAGCTCACGGGAAGCTGGATGCCGGCTTGCTATATATAAATAAAGTAGGTACCGTGCCAGGCTAGCTCTTAGGAGACGTTCGCGAATCGATGTGACGTGCTTTAAAAGTCACGAGGTGAGCTCTCACGCGCGCGTAGTTGTCTGTCAGCTTTATATAAATAAAGCAGGCATCGTACCTGACTAGTCAGCTAGCGCTCAGTTATGGTACTTTATACATTTTCGGTTAATAACATTTTGTGGGCGTGGCAGTAATCCGATTATGCCCATCTACGAAGTCGTAATTTTTTTTGTACTAAGCAACTCGCTTACCAAGCAGGTATCTTAATTTTTACTCCAGTACTGCACGGACGGAACGATGGATAGACAGACAGTCACCCAGATTTCAACTCTACAAGTCATCCTGATCATTGTATATATATAAACCAATTACAAATTAAAAAATCTCGTTTAGTTTTAGGTGATACATATAACTTGCCCTTAAGAAAACACTGTTGACTTTGCTTGTATGTATATTCTATAAATACATATATTGTCGTTGTTGTTGTTGTTGTAACGGCAGAATTCTGCCGTTACATATATTGTCGTCGATACATGTGTACATACATATGTATGTATATTAACAGAATGAAATTAATTAAAAAATCTGGGCTAACTGTAAAAAAGGGTAAAATAATATTCTTTCTGCTTTATTGGATTTTATTACTCTTTGCAATTGTAGGGCAACGAACTTGCTCTCTTTGCGTTTATATTTACGAGTATATAATATATGTATGCATGTATGTAAATGTGTAAGTAGGGATGAACAACTTTTTTGTTTTAAATACCAAGAGACATAGCTTTCAAACAAGTTTTGTCTCTAAAAAAGATCGTGATTTTACAGCGTCCAAAATCCCCGACTAGTAACGGATGTCATTAATGTTCGCCCTATTTAAGGTATTCCACAACCAAGGCGAATGTATGTGTTGTAGGTAGTGCGCTAAGGAACAGTTTATTTCCATCATTTTTAACTTTAATAGTTGGTGAAGAAACTTTGTAAATTATACATATGTATATGATTTGAGTTTCGACAGTGAGAGAAAAATTCTTCTTTCAAATTGCAATGGAAATGAAAGCAAAATAATTTTATCTTAGAACTTACAGGCCAAGCGCTGTCAGCAGTCAGCACATTACATTTATTAATAAATGTACACTTCTAAGACGTTTGCCAAAGAATTTTTCTTAAAAAAGCAGGCCGTCTTTAAGCAGCAAAGCTTTTTTGGTTCTTAGCAATTTGAGGACTTAGGGGTTACATGGGCTTACGGGTTTCAAAAAATCGATGTATTTATTGTCTTATTAAATTCTAAAACACTTCTAGATTATTGTTATACATTTTCAAATTGATCAGTGTAATAGTTTCGGAGATACAGCCTTGAGAACTTGTGTAATTGAGGATAGCTAGGCTAAGTACGCCGTCTTTAAACGTATTTTTCTCTTTTCCATTACAACTTTATAAAAAAAATTCTGCCGAGCTTAAAATATTTTTTTCGAAAAATTTTAGAATTTCTTTGTTATTAGTGTATGCTTGTAAAAAAAAAATCTAATACAATTTATAATTTTTTATATGAGAAAAAAATTGTTGAAAAAGGCTTCTTTTACCCGAGGAAACCTATGTATTTCATTAATCACCGATTTCTTTGGGAAATATGTCGAATTTTATAATAATGTGACTTATATCAGTGCAGAGTCGTAAACAAAAAACTACCAACCATATACGAATTAACATATGGAGATCAAATTTTACAACAAATTAAAAATTTTACAAATTAAAAAATCGAACCCATCCAGGAAGAAAGCTTTTTGTCAATTCGGTTTGAGTGCGAAGTTTATATGAATCTGTCCGGGTCATATTTGATCTTGATTGACTTAAATAATCCAAATCCAAATCCAAATGTTGGCTAAAATATTCCTGATTGCCCTCATTATTATAAATTATATTTCGCGTGCGTAAATATTTACAAACAAATGCATATGAATACATATATAAATACTTGTATATATAGATTGTTGAGAAAATTATTTTTGGAGCATACAAGAGTGCAAATATATGTATGTTATAATGATATTTTGCTAATTTGATTTCATTTTCCTGCAGTGTGTTTGAAAAAGTTCTCCGACCTGAATTCAGTTGGTACAAATCAAATAATCGAGCTGATCGCCCTCATTAAATATATTTTTCATTTGGAATTGGGTTGAAAGTAAACATACAAATTTACACACCTATACAGCAAAAGCGCGCTAATTATAAAATTAAATTTGAAGAGTGATTTGAAGAGTGAAATATTTCACTTGAAAAAAATTTAATGGGATAAACAATATGAATTCATAGGCTTTTAAGAATAATTCTAAACCGTTTTTTTATATTATTGAATGAACTACCTTCTGACCAATTGTGAAGAATTAAATAAAAGTGCAATGACAATTTCGCTACCATTCAGAATAAGAGATGTTTGAGCAAAAATACAAGGTGCGTTCCAAAGTACAGAGGAATTTTTGAATCTGGCGCCCTGGTGGCGCCATCTATATTTCGACTGGTGCGTTACAATCTGCTATTTTTATCGATTGTTCAGTGAGAATATCATGACATTTCATTGATTGGAAGTGAAGTTATTGCGTTTTAAGTAAATTGGTAAAACTTTTACCGAAACGTTTCAATTGAAATGAAACGAGTTTATGGCGATGATTGCCTATCCCGTAGCAAAGTGCACGAGCAGGTTCAACGTTTTCAAGTGGTCGTGATTACATAAATGACGATCAACATGTGGGCCAATCAAAATCCGTGATCATCGGAAATTCCATCGAAACTGTGCGTAAATTTATCAAAATTCAACCGAAATCATCATTGAAATTCATGGAAATGGAATTGCACATCTCCAAAACATCGACTTATCGCATTTTGACGGAACATTTGGGCTTACGAAAGGTGTGTGCACGGTTTGTTCTGCACAAATTGACCGAGGACCAAAAATTTTCAGAATCCGTCTCATCGATCGACGCTTGTGACCGATTATTTGACCAAAAATCACATTTCAACCATTAATCCCCACTCCCCGTATTCACACTTTTTCGACATGGCTTTGGAAAAAAACCGTATTTAAGCAGAGGAGACTATTTTGAATAAAATAAGTTGCTTTTGCTGAAAAAAAAAAAACATTTTTTCTGTTTGTAAAATTCCTGTTTATTTTGGAAAGCACCTTGAATGAGCGACTTAACTCTGCTTCATATTTATTTAATGGAATAGATAAGGAAATTCCTTGAATTTGTATTCTTGACAAACACTGTGATTATTTAAATCGTTTTTCATAACAAGTATTCACATAAAATGCACTTACATTTTAAGGCTGCAAATACTTTCCACTTAGAGATAAATATATTTACAAATCTCTATGAAGAGTATCAAATATCTACAGGGTTTGTCCGGAAAGTAATAGCAATGAGTTGATTTAAAACAATTTATTGAACCTATCGTTACAATTCTTTAGAAACTTTCACAATAGGCTCCTTCTGCGTCCATGTAGCGTTACCAGAGCGATTTCCAAGCATTGAAGGTGTCAGGCGAGGACCATGCCAGTTGAATTCCCTCTGTCGTCTCAAAATGCTTGGTCCGGGTGGCTACATCTGGGCTGTAGGGCGGTTAGGTAGCTGTTCACAAGAAAGACGGTGTGAGCAGGGGCGTTGTCGTGGTGGAATTTCCAATCGGCTGCGATGTCTTGTCGGACTCGATAGACCTTTCGTTTGAGTCTCTTGACTGTTATGAACCATAGATTTTAAAAAATTTAACATCTGGGCAATTACACGAATTAGTCGAAGTCGCAGGTTTCCCAGCTCGGTCTTCGTTAGCGTCCTCCCGGCCCAACTAAACGGCCTGGTGCCACCGAAACACATCACTTCTTGCTAAAGCAATGTTTGGTTAAGCTTGCTTGATCATATCAAACGCCTCTGTCGCAGACTTACCGAGTTTCATACATTCACAGACACACGTCTCGCGAAAATGTTTATCGCGAATCTCTTAACGTTCGGAGACAACTCAGTTAGGAACGAACTCTACCAAATCCAGTCGTTGCGCGCACGCTCCGAAGTACAGTCGCGGCGAAAGAAGATCAGTCCATTTACTTTCCGGACAAACCCTGTATGTATATAGGTACATCATGTGTGTATATTTGAATTGGTTTTTGTCTGAGAGTGGCAAGCTTAGATACAGTTTCCTTAGAAGTTTTTTAATAAAGGTGAGCTTAGTTGTCGCACATTTCCTTTTTGCGCCTTTATCTTTACCAAAGTAACTATACATTAACATATTCAACCGGATAGGGTATTATTCGAATAATAATATTCGATTTGCAAAATCCAGATATACGCAAGTCGTCGACGATTCGATTAACCGAAATTTTGACTATCTGGTTAACCGTTTTTTGTCGACTATTCGAATAGCAAACGCAAAATTTTGACTACTGCTTCGATCATTGTCAATATTCATATCTATTAATAATTGATTTTATGTTTTGGTTTTGGGTTTATAGAAAAATTTAAGCAGACAAATATTCCTGACCATCAAACACCTTTTTTCGAATTCCTCCTGAAAACGGATAAGGGACCAAGAGAATGTAAATATTTCTAAAATTAATTGAAGTCAATTAAGTTAAAATTTTTTATTTATTAATTGAAAAAAAAAATGCATTTTAAAAAATGAAAATCGCTTTTTATCTGACTCGCAAGTGGACGTAACCACTTTGAGGAAATATGTTACTTGAAATTTGTTCTTGCTCATTGAATACGAATTAGAGAAAACGTTAGTATGTTTTCAATTTCTTTTACCGAATTATCCGTTTTGGAGAAAACGTTGGTATAAGTTTTCAATTTCTTTTACCGAACTATCCGTTTTTTTATTTTTGAAAACACTCTTCTTCACTTTTTCTATTTGTGATTTATTCGAGTGTTTTGCCTGATTTCATTTCAATGGCTGGAAAAATAAATTTTTCATCGGCTTGCAGACAAATATAGTTATTGAAATAGGTACGCGTGTGCATACATACATATTTACAATATGCGGAATATTTTCGATTATTACAAAAGTGCGATGAAAATGAAATCTTAAATTTTCATTTCGAAAGCTCTTTTGGCCTGGTGAGTGAAAATAAATATTTAATGAACGAAATTCAGCGATGTATTTGGCGAATCTCAAAATAATATTTTTTTGGTGAATTACATTTCTGAATGCAAATTTTGTATATGTGCAACGATTGAACGAATATCAAAGCAATTTTGTATATATACATGTATTCTACATTCGGGCAACTCTCATAAATTTTCAATGGAGTTCGAAACTGTTTTTTTTTTATATAAATATAAGTCAGAGTTTCACATTTTGTGCAGTATGTTTCGGGTCGTTATCTTGTTGGAACCAAAAACTTAATTCCTGTTAAAACTAAAATTTGTGTAATATAATTCTAAAAAATATTCATATATGCTTATTTTTCTAAAAAAAAATACAATATGTATCGTATTTCCTGATAAATTTGTGTTTAAAGTTTTCTTTTAGATTTTATTAGCGTTGTAAGCAGATTTATGCGGGTAAGTGCATATACGAATAATTTTCAAAACCGCAGCATATTTCAACTGTATTTCTTTTGTAAAATTTTGTTTATGAAGACTCATTTGGTGGAAAACATGATATCGCTGTTCGAAAATTGAATTGGAATACTATGCTGGAGTGCTGATTTCACACACTTTAGAATATAGAAGCTGTAATTCATATCTGCTCACTGCCTGACTGATGAATATTAGATCAGTGTGCATATTGAATCGATTACTTAAATAAGAGAATATCGAATCGAAGAATCGAGTTCGATACAGCAGCTGACAATATCTAAGATTTGTTGGACTAGCAAAGAAATAAAATATAAATTCAAGTATTTACTAAACCGCTGTTAATGACATAGCTGGAAAAACGTAGTGTTTACATCAAAGCACCAATCTGGTCTATGCGTGGTTTATTGGCCTACCAGATTAACCTAACCTAACGTAAGGGTTGAATCTTTTGCAAAAAACGACGTCGAGTAGAGAGCCAGTACAGTTGACAAGATGTGGGTTGTTTAATATGATGTTGAAACTGTAACAATATAGCAAATTGAGCTCCAAAAATTTGCCAAAACAAAAAAAAAAAAAAAAAATCGCTGAAGGCACTGAAGGCCATTCCAGGTGTGTGGAAGATTGTATTAAACGTTGGCATGCTTGTACGGCTCCAAAGTGGTCGATAATAAAGATTTGAATTAAAACACGTGCATTTTTTGTCGGTGCGGATAAATTTTGTTAATATGATATAACAATTCAGGATTTTTTCTTTTTTAAGTTCGTATGTTGCTAAGCAGCCTGTGGTTATTATTTTTGAAGTCGGTTCAGTTAATCAAATTTTCGAAGTTCGTTTATGTTTTATCTTATGTACATATATCTATGCGCTATATGTGAGGAAACGGAATATGACGAGAGCACTCAATTTATTTAAACAACACACAAAGTTTCGCAATTAATGTACCAGTTTAAACGAGAATAAAAAAACTGAAATCTGGAAATATTAAAAGAAAAAGGACTATTTACACATTTTTCTTAAAATTTTTTTTTTTTGGAATTTTTAATTTAATATTGAGTAGTCGAAAAAGTCTTTTCGTATTTTGTTAATAGATGTCGTTGCAGTCGTATATCACCAGTTCTAGCAATCACCATATGTCATATCATATAGTGTTGGAAAGATGAGATTTTAAGCTTCATTAAACTAAAAAAAATGAATTACAGCTGTTAAAAAATGAGTGAAAATAATGAAAAAATTTGCTATATTTTCAAAGTTTTGTATAAAAAAGGGAAGAATGCCAAGAGGCAAGCCACCAATTAAATGCTGTATCAGTTCGTATAGCACAACAATGGTTCGGTCGCTTCCRTTCTAAATATTTCGATTTAGACTGATGGAAAATGTCTTTAGCGGAAATATAGCAAAAAGTGGTCGACCACAATGGTACATATTTGTTTATTTATTTATTATATATAATAATATGAAAAAATGTTAAAATTTGATTAGAAGTACCAAAAAACTTTTCGACCAGATAAAAATTTTTTAAAAAAATTTTGTTTAACAATTTTTTTTTAATTAATATTTCGGTTATATTCTCAAAGTTTCATTAATTGAATTCTAAAATATAATAATTGTCGATTAGTGAACAATAGACCATGATGCAGTGAAATGTATTTTAATTTTATATATTTTCAAATTAACCACTTAACTCCAAAATCAAACAATTTGAAATGTAAATTAGTTTAAGTTGAGAGAATTTAAATTGTAATAAAATATAATATATGCTAATTAATAGTAGTACATTGTATGAGCTTCAGTCAGAATGTCACTTCATCTCACTTCATTGTCTTCTTACTTTTTCTCATTAACATTTGAAATTCATATTTTATGTTACATTTAACATACATATTCTAGTCTACGCTGTCTCAATAATAATTATTTTTTTAGTAAAGCCAGTAACGGTTTCTCGTAACTGGGCTGACAACGTGTACTAATTGCTTCAAATTGAGCAAAAAGCCTGATTAGAAAATAATTCTACACTTTTGCATTTCTACTGTAGCGCAAAAAATAGTTCGTGCATAAACACTTGTTTACTTTAAATCGCGTTTTTGTCAATCTTTAAGTAACACTTTACAAAAAAAAAAAAAAAAAATAGTTTGGAAATTCGAAAATCACACAAAAAGTGTGGACATATTTTTACTTACGTGGTTAGCTGCGCCAAACTGAATTTGCGTTCATCCTCCTGCCTCGAATTCTTGCGTAGAAAGTGTCCGAAGCCGCGCAGCGAGAGGCGAGAGTTTTTACGGCTCGCAGGATTGCCACCGTCGGTGCTCAGGTGATTGGGATCGGCCAGCGCATTGGGCGCACTATGGTTTGCATTTGGCGGATGTCCGTTATACTGTTGACTGGTGGTTGTGCTAGATAAACTCGCCGAGATGGTGGGTATAGTGAGGCCGACCTGACCTTCGGCATTACCGTTTGGTGTCTGATCAGCCATTTTTCTTGTGTTTTTTCAAATATTTAAAAGCACTAATATTTTTTTAGCAACACTGTTCAAACAAATGCATATATGGGTAAAAAAATATTAAAATAGTAATTTCATGTGTTTTTTTTTTTTTTATTTAAACGACGTTTTCCATTTTTAATGCACTTTTAACGTAATTTCTCAACGCGAAGTCCTTGCTCACTAATTATTTATTTCAGTTATTTATCGTTTAGTCACGTTGGTAATTTTAATTTATGCATAAATTATAACATAGTAATTTCATTTTTCACTTATTTTTGTGTGCGTTTTTCAAGTTTTGCGGTTAGCTTTCCGTTTCCGGCTAGACGCTTTCGCTCCACTTTTCTTTGCCTGTTGAGTACGTATTGCGGCGTTGCGAACTGGCTACCGACGACTGCACGATTTCGTTGCGAACTTTTCGGTATATCAGCGGCAAATAACTGAAAATTATTAATTACAGTTTCTTTTATCTCAATCGATGTGAATCGAAGTGTAATAACAGAGAACAGCGAATGAGTTGAATAACACGATGAGCGACCGCAATCGCCATCGTACGCTGGCTGCAACAACAATGCCAACGACAGCAGAATGCGAGCGAGCAAAGAAACAATAAAAGTTAAATTAAAAAAAAAAAAAAAAAATTACACGAAGTGCTAGAGTCAAGAGTTATTATTGCTTTTGGGGAGTGCGCATACTATGCGAGAGTCGCCCAAAGCATATACACAAACGCACGTATGTACAAATTTCGTATATACGCGTTTACTGCCCATTAGGTATTTGCACGTGTAGTGGTATCAGCTGACAGTCAGTATGAGTGTGCGATCGCTCAGGGATATTGGCCTGTTTGCGCTGCGGTTTGTATGTGTGTGTGTATGTGTTGAATATTGTTCAAATTTACTTTCTACTTGTGATGTGCGCAGGCGCTCATTTAAATTAGCCCAATGATTAGGATTCAAATCAAATCTCAAACGAATGTTAATTACCAGACACTCTAAGCAAGTGTAAATGTGTGTTTGCGATATTTATAAATATCTTCGTACTAGCGGTTGTTTAAGCCATGTTTTGCGAAAAATATTTTTAGATCAAAGCAAACATTCGGCGAAATTCCAATTACTTTGCTATTTATTTATCTATCTACGATTTGCATGTAATTTTAGTGCAGCGCTGCTATATTTTCAAAGCAGATCCATTAGGGTACACCATGGGCAGGGTGTATAAAGCTTTCCACGAAGTTTGCAACACTCAGAAGGCAAGGTTGGAGATCCTATAAAGTACAAGTACTTATAAATGATCAGAGTCGATTTAGCCTTAGTCTCTAAGTTTTTGAGATATCGGTCTGAAATTTTGCACACATCCTCTTCCCTCAAGAAGCTGGAATTTCGATATCGGTTCACCCCAGCATGTAGCAAACTTATCTCTCACCCATTCGCCGCCTCAAATTCAAGTCCTTTTTTAGTATACAAGAGATCTTCACGAAATTTGACACAAGTTATCGTTCCAGACACCGCTGAAATTTAGGAAAAGTAAATTGGTTCTGATCGGACATAGCATATAGCTGTTATACGAACTGGCCGCTCAAAAATAAGAAAGAAAGGTCTTATAGCTCCTGTGCAGCCAAAGTTTTGTCTTCTAACTATCTCACAATTCTTAAATTTCATTACTTTGGTAATATGAAATTGTTGGTCAAAAAATAACCACCCTAAATTAAACACACATAGTATTTGTGTTCACTTGTTTGCTACATTATTATTAAAATGCAATATTTTGTTGACTTGTTGATCATAAATTATTAAAATTATTGTATTGTATTTGTAGTTTTTAAGTCATGAGTTTGCGAAAATTTATTACAGTGTAATATGGCTCGACAATTTGGTAAAATATGTTTATATGTGTTTAAGTGGGTGTGAAATTTACTTTAGAGCTACTGTGTAATAATTATAATAACTATAATTTTCATGGTCAAATACTAATTTTTGTTTGTTACATTACTAATGATGCAAAGACAAAAAAAATCTAACCTTTTTTGAAATAGGTAGTAGCTGGCTTCAAGCGAGCATTTCTAAACAGTTGATTTTTTCAAAATTAGCAATTATACCAAAAAAATTTGGCAATCTGCTCAGAGAGTTTCAAAGTTTTGCTTATCGAGATGTTTTAATCTATAATACAAGAAAACAGTACAAAATTGAATCCTTAAAAATTTGGATTATCTAGCATGAATGACATCAAAAACTTGCCTCATGTGAGTCGTCTATCGGTGTCTGTTAATAACGATAACATCGAAAGATTACGGAAACAGAGCTTGAATTTTGTCGTCTTAGCATTAAAGAGATATCTCTTATGGAACAACTCAACGTTTTAATTAATGTTTCGGGTATGAAGAAAGCTAGACTCCTATCAACAGACTTGTATGCTTTCACAAAGACGTTGTCGAGTAGAGGTCGCAAAAGAGATACTTGACAACGTAGCTGAATTATTTTGGATGCAGAGACGTGGGTTTACGAATATGATCTAATAATCTAGCGAAAGGCGCTCCAAAAATTAGCGAAAATCGAAATAACCTAAACTCACTCAGCCAATGAAGTCCATTCCAGMAAATGCTTAAAACAAGTTTATGGAAAATTGGATTATGCTTTGGTATGCGTGGAGTTCATGAGTCCATTTTGAAGGTGATAATAAAGGTTTTTTAACAACGCTGTTGTTTTTATAGCCTAATTTGGTTGGTATATAAAATTTCCGTCCATGTTTAAAATACCAAAAGGAGCCACTAAAACATATAGCTGCCATATAAACTGATCGATTCGAATCTATATAAAAATCGTTTTATTCTCCTTTATGCTAGAGAAAATGCACCTCTGAAGGAAATTATAATTTTGGCGGAGTTGAAGTAAACGATTTTTCTTGTTCTTTTTTTGCTATCTCGGGTTAAATTTGATAATTATGATAATATAAATCAGACGTCAAATTCCACCTGTAGTGGAGAGCGTAAGAGCCTGCATAGCTACATATATAAATACATGTTTATATACAATGTTTTTCTCGCATAATTTTTCTACGCTTCTATCAACACGCTTTATTAACACTCTCATAAATAATAACAACAAATTGTAAATAAACAATACGCATAGATATGAATTGCAAAACGGAACGAAATCATATTATTTAGAACATTTTTATCTGTATACATATGTACGACTTGTTAAATTGAAGAGAAACAAGTAAGGAAGGGCTAAGTTCAGGTGGAACGGAACATTTCATACTCTTGCAACTTACAAAGATTACAGATCCGAGAATCCCTTTAGATGCTGGCAAAACTCGCATTTTGGCCGATATACATATATATAAAGTCACCTGGAAGTTCGAATAATATATTGGGGTTCAGGGAAGAATTGACCCGATTCAACACTTTGTAACGCAAAGACATACTACTATCAGAAAAGGAATCTCTGTGAATTTCAATTATAAATTTGGCACATTGACCAATATTTTCGGTAAAAGTTCGTATTGGGGTTCATATATTCGGCATCCAAGGGGTGAACAGTTTTAATTGGATTAGGATCGTGGAAAATGTTATACCGTTATAATAATTTCTTGTTGATTTGTACACTCGAAAGAAAAGAATCAGAAGGGATTTAAAATTGTGTTGTTTGGAAAGTAGGCGTGGTTGTAGTCTGATTTCACTCATTTTCGGACTTTAATATACGAATTCCAGAGGAATGTCACGTACCAAATTTGAAATCGGTCGGTAGGGTCGTCGGTTTTCAACTCGTCTCGTCGTCCTGACCATTTATATATACATAACCCTATATTTTCTCTCTTAATTTTAGGTGATACATACAACTGTTGGGTGAACAAAACTATTCTACTCTGTGGTAACATGTTGCAAGATAATAAAAATTAAATCAAAAACATCTGAACGCCGATCGTTGTTTTTACACACACACACACACACGTTCACACACACACACACACACGCACGCAGCCCAAATTGACGCTAATGAATTAAGCGTACAATTGTTTAGAACGCCGACAAGTGGTCAAATCAAGGGACCATAAAGCTTTAAACACTGACAATATCTGATCGATTTTTTGCTTATTTGTTTCGGTAGTTCGTTTGAATGAAGGTGTTGTTTGATTGTTCATCTACGGGCAGTTAACACCTCGCTTGGATGTGCGTAACAAGTGTCATTGTATATAATTGAACGAATTTGCACTATTCTTGTTTTTATTTGTTCAATATTCGTTTTTCTATTGTATTCTTTGTTTACCTTTTCTCACACAATGAACGCACTTGTGCTTACTATAAAGCACATACATATGTACTTATATTCGAAACGTAACGTTACCGAAATTACCGATTGCTGATATCTCATTGCACTGAACTTTGTGGTGCTGCAACTACCAAATTTGTATACCCCAAACAGAGTAAATTTAGAGTAAATTTTTGCAGCAGGAAACGTTGGAGACTCTATAATATTTTATAAGCGTGAGGAATAGTGATCTAACATACATAAATTATATGTCACTATATGTCTGGATGGAGCCATGTGTAGAAGTTCACGCATATGAGGAAAGTTCTCTGACCGCCATTCACTTCAGAGTGGCCAGAAACGGTTCATTTACATCAGCATCTCATCATCATCAAGCATCTCACAACTTCTGGCCTTAGATCAAACATCCTCTGGTTAGCCAAAAACATCCGTTTGAAGGCGAGCTATAGTGAGAAGGTGAAATATCTTCTCCCCAGGGTTGTGTGCTAGGGTTATGACCCGCCACGCAAGAACCCTACCGACAGAGAGAAAATGCTTCTTAAGCAGAACTTAATCGAACAGATACAATTTTCTATGGGAGTTTACAGCTTCTGGCGTACACCGATGATATCGATATCGTTGACCACAACAACTGCGCCATTAGTTCTGCTTTTTCCAGAATGGATAAGGAAGTGAAACAAACGGGTCTGGAATTGAACGAGGGCAAGACGAAATATGTATCTCCTGTCATCAAACAAAAAGTTATCGCACTCGTGACTAGGCTCCCACGTCATTGTTGATAGTCATAACTTCGAAGTCG